GGTTTTTGAGTAATTGATAAAAATACCGATTTTTTTAAAAAACTTTTGACACCCTGTATCTAGAAAACGAAGCCAGTTAGGACATATGATTATATAAAACTTTTTTCTTATTTTTGGCTGGTACCCCTTAAAATCTCTGCACTCAATGTTGAATCATCCTGTATAAGGTGTCTGTAAAATTTGGTACGTTGACAGGGTTTTATGTTGTTTATTGTATTTATCATCATGAAAAAACGAAAGTCTAAGAATTATTGGTTTTAAAAAAATAAAACCGGGACTCAGAAAGATGTTTGTACTCTATTTAATAATAAATAACCCAACTTAGGACCACTTTTTGAACTCACAATAAGCAAAATTGAGAAAAAATCAAAGAAGCGGATCATGTTAAAGATATCCCCAAAGGTATAAGGAGACAAATACCGGAAAACAAGAAAGTAGATGTTGTGCTAGCATTTCAATTAGCATTAGAACAGTTTTTAGGATGCATAAAAAGTAGAAATGGCATACTTATACATAACTTAAGATTACTTCAGAAACTCCTGGTAGAAAATTTTAATAGATGAATTAAATTTTTCCAAATTACAGTGGAAAAATAGCAGATCTTCCTAAATAGTCATATAAACCATCAGACTTGTCGGTATTGGGCAACTGAAAAATCCACATTACTCTATACCCAAAAAAGTGAATGCTTTCTATCAAACCTTAATAGGTCCTTGATATTTACAATTTCTACAAGACTACTGGCTCTCCGAACAAAATCGCTTGTTTCCAAACAGAAATCATTTGTGGTTTCAGCATTATGGTGTGCCCCAAACTATGCTGTATTGATATTGGTAAGAAACGTCTTTCAAGATCGGTATATAGTGCGAAGAGGATCAATAGAATGGCCACCTAAGTCTCCAGATTTATCTCCTCAAGAATACTTTTTATAAGAAGTAAAGCACATGGATTCCCAAAGTGGTCGATACCGACCTCTTGGGGGGTGAAATCGGTTTCCTAGGGGTCGACATAAACGAAAACAGATTTTGGGGGTCGACGAGGCCTAAAAATCGACTCCTATTAATTAACACAAATTCTTATTTGAAACTTTCAAGATACTGTGGAAGCAAAAAAATATCCAGTGATAAAAATAAGCTCGTGTGCAAATTTAATAGTTTTATTATTGTTTTTTAAGTAGTTTCCTTAACATTTTTTTTTTTTTTTTTTATTTGCAGGTTTACTGCGAGTTTTGTGGTGCCAGACACGAAAAAAAAAAAATGCAGAAAAGACAGTTTGGACTACTTAAGATTTGGATTTAGTCAATCTCTATCAAATTAACACTTGCCGATGTGTCTTATATGTGAAAAAGTATTTAGTAATGATGCTATGAAGCCTTCAAAAATGGAGGACCACTTATTAAGAGTACATGCTGACAAAAAAAGTAAACCCTTGTCATTTTTTCGAACATTTAGAGAAAAACAAGATCGATTTGCGTCATCATCTATGCAAGACGTTGATGGTTTGATAGCGTCCTATAATATATCTTTAATAATAGCGAAGTCAGGAAAACGCCACACAATTAGTGAGCAGCTTATTTTACCAGCCATTACGGAGGTCCTCAACAATGTATTCGCAATATCTCAACTATAATACAAGAAGCCAATCTGACTTTCATGTACGGCAAGCCATCACTAAAAGTTCCCAAAATACAATTTTTATTAAAGGTTTAAAAAATTTAATAGACTACCTACAGAAATTAAAAAAAAACATCAATAAATGTATTCAAAAGTAACCTTAAACAATACTTGATAAATAAACAGAACGTATATACTTTCTTGTGATAATACTCTTTAAATCTGCCCTTTTTAAGTATTTCCCTTAATTTATTATTTTACCCCTCGTTTTATCCGCATTTATTATAAATTATTTGTTTTGAGATAATGTACTTTATTTTAAAAAATTACTTGATGTTATATCAATACTACTTACTATGTTTAAATTATTAATAGTTTTGCGACGATAGGTTATAGCAACTTCTAGCCACAAAACTATTTTTGTGTTAAAGTAGATCCATAGAGAGCAATGTAATATACAAAGACCTTCTTTCAACATACAAATAAATGACAACTTTATAATTAGAATGAAAAACACAACAAAATACCTCGGTATCATAATTTATCCAAATTTGAAATGGGTTGATCACATTACGTCATTAAAATCACAAGATAAGAAGATTCATTTTAAAATTTTATGAATTGAGATAATTTATGACTAGGAGTTTTGCTAATTATTATTTACAATTCGCTGGTTGAATATGTAATCCAAAATCGTATAATTAAAATGATCTACAAAAAATCAGCATTATATCCTACCTCTCTTTCATATAATAAAAAAGTGCTTTGTATAAGAACATTATATTATCTGCCTTGCTGTACCTTTATGGAAAGCCTGAATTGAGATTCACTTCAAATTATTTGCAATAAATATCAAAAGAAGTATACATTTTTAAATAATTTGACATTTAAGAGCCATTCACACATCACAGTTGACATCTTGATACTTGACAGGCACAGCCAAGCATTATTCTGATTTTTGCCAAATAAAATGGCCGGTTAATTATTCTATGGGGTGGCGACAGAGAGCCAGTAAATTTGATGAAAGTGTTTTTGTGGCTATGGACGAAATAGTAGTAAGCTTAATAGCATCACCATAAAAAAGTCATTTTTAAAAAACTGCTTATATATTTTTCATAAATTGGCAGGCTTGGCGACTAATTTCGAATAAAAATAGCCTCCAAAATAGATATTGTTGCAAGTATGAAGGTCGCAACCCGCATTAGAAATTTCACCTTTACTATCAACAGCTGTTGTTTGACAGGTCGTTAGAGAATGTTTGCAATTTATGTAATGTAAAGAATGTTGACGTTAGAAATAATTGGAATTCCTAAAATTGTCACATAAGGAATGCATAGGCAGATTTTAAGAAAATTGATATTAAAGTAGTTAGGATGAACCGGAAATTCTGAAAATCAATAGGGTTCTAAGTTAGAAGTAATTATTCAAGAAAATCAAAACCGCAAGACAATCAAAACTTTCGTTATAGAGTTATAGTGCCGGCATACATACATACATACAGACGACCAGACGAACATTTTTTTTGCATTTTCGGACTCAGAATGATCAGAAACATGAAAAAAAGTTTTAAAAAATGGGGGTCAGACAATTTTTTCGTCTGCACGAATGCAATACTGAGGCCCCATAGGAAGGGCCTCAGTAATTTGTAGCTGCAGGGTAACGATCTCAACTTGATTAAAACAAAATATATCAGCCTTTGGGGTCCATTCTGTAACAATTCCTTTATATTTAACGGCCTTTAAAAGTATTTTCTTCTTTACTTCTGTCATTATTTAAACGGATCTTTAAAATACATTAGAGGACTATCTTAAAGAAATCTGTTTAAATAATGACAGAAGTAAATTAACGAATACGAACATATTTTTATAGGCCGTCAATATTTTTAAAGGCCGTTAAATATAAAGGAATTGTTACAGAATAGACCCCTTTGTGGGTAAACTTATCCTTTATAAACCAAATTTAAGTAGAAAAGAATATTCACAGTTTCCACATTTGTCAAAATTACCAGAAATGCTTCAAGACGATGTTATTTGATCATATATCGCTCACTTGGACGCATTACACAAAGATTTTACTAAAAGGTTTGAGGTTATCTTAAATTTTCAAATTCCTCAATGGATAATAAATCCGTACAATATCACAGACATGGAAGAAGCCAATGTGATAATGCAAGAAGAGTTGATCATCATCACAGACGAGGAGCTTAAGTAAAAGTTCAACAAAGGCTATCAGAAGTGCTGGTTGCAACATTAAAACATCCTCTATTTTGAAACATTGCTGAAAAATACCTAATCGCTTTTCTATCATAATACCTAGTCGAAAAAGGCTTTAGTGTGGTTACAAATATTTTGACAAAACAAAGAAACCGTTTGAAAATCAACGAACACGGAGATTTAAGCCTGCAACTCACCAATATTGAACCAGATTTAGTTAGATTGGTAGAAAGTCACCAGGTTCATTCAACACATTGAAGTTTTTATTATTTTATCTTTACTTTGCGATTTTAATGTATTTTTCTATGGGAGTCTGAAGTACCAGTTCATTTTGGAAAAGGGGTCTATTGCCCAAAATAGGTGGGAATTCCTGATGTAGCTAGATGAATGAATAGAATGCATTCGAATGAAGAAGACACAAATAACTCCTAAAGTTATAATTCAAGTCGTAACTTTATACGTTTGCTGTAAATGTGATTGCAATTTTATATACCTACCTAACAATAAATGATTATAAAAATGAATATTTTTGACTGTACACCGAACTCAATTACTTCTCCTAATTGATATGGTTAGATTAACAATTATCATGCTTATATTCTCACACAGATGACCTCACGTATGGAAAATATTACACCGAAAGCGCACGTTTAAATATGTTTTAAAAATTTCAGGAATTAATTTCTCTCATTTGCAGCATATTGTATAGTACCTATACATACCGACTTTTGTAAAGCGAATTTAGAAATCCTTTCAAAAAATATATCACTCGACCCGTATGATTAATGAACTCTAAAATATCTTAATTTGATCATATCCCCGAATAGTAAAAAGCATTTTGTTAAAATATCCGTCAAAAATGTATTTTTACTACATATTACTTAAACAAGATAAATTTAAAAAATGAAAGTAAAAGCACTGTTGACAAATTTGTCCCCTTTTTCGTAGTTTTTAAATTTACCTTTGGTATTTTGTTATAAACAATAATAATTCCAAATAGTCGCAATTAATTTTTAATTTTTAAACAAAAATATAATTTTTAACCGCACAAATAGTAGTGCAAAAAAATTGGTGTCGAAGGTCTTTTTTCTGTGTGTTTGTTAATTACAATGGAATAATTCAATATTTTTAAAATCGTTAAATACAAAAAAAATACAAAAATACGCATACTAACCTGAATGATAAACCATAAAAACAAAGAACAAAATAATAAAGTAATTCATCTTCTAGACACTTTTTTTCACACTTCATCAGCTGTTCGAATGTATTATCATAATCACTTGAAATTCCTTACCTACCACAAAGAAATTTAAACGGTTTATCTCGCGCACAAATTAGTTTCACATAGTAAATTCACAAAATTTCTCGAAATATATCAGTCGAACGTGCGAATTTTCAACACAAATTTTCTAATTTTAATGTCGAATTATCCTGCGATTTCGTCTGAATATAACAGATTGCAATATAGTACCACTTTACCGAGGTAAGGTAAAGAGAAAGTAGGTAGTACTAGCTAGTAAGCTAAGCGCTGTGCCTATACACTTAACACATGTATTATAGGTATCCCCTCTACAAGAAAAGATATGAAGGAAGCCACGATGTGTTTAAAATTAAGAAATTACATTTGACTCTTTGTCTGAGAGAATGGATGTTTCTGGTAAAGGATTGTGAAATTTTAGAACAAGCACATATTGTTGAGTAATTTTTGGGATAATTCATTGAAATTATACATTATTATTTTAAGAATATGAAATATCAATTATAAAAGTATTTGTGTGTTAAGATTGTATTATTCAATTATTTTTAACTTTAATTTAAAAATAAATTTTGTTTTTAAATCAACGTATATTTCATGACTCGTGGTTCCAAAAAATCTATTGCCTTGATTCCGTCATTGGACCTTTGATTTCATGTTTCTGTCCTGTATCGTTGGCGTCGTAAATAATTCGAAACGGCCTTAGGGTTGTGACACCAAAATGGTAGTAGGATTTTGGAAAATGAACCCGAAGAAACGTCTTTAAAAATTAGAATGTGGATTGTCTGATTAGATTAGATTAGATTAGAATGTGGATTTTTTTTAGAATAATAATTGTAAAGTTAAATTGAAATTGAAATTAAAATAATAATAATAAATATAATAAAAGTTTAAAAAAAATGTAAAAGAGTTAAAGTTAAAAAAGATCTATAAGAAGAGTTGTGCAGAAAGAGGAGGAAACAGAAGATATCAGGCAGTGAAAAAGTAAAGTAGGAGTTAGAGCAGGATACCAGCGGGGCTATTTTCAAACTCGAGAAAAAGTGAATTCTCTTAAGATTTTTATGAAAAATGTCATACGTCAACGTAAAAACTGTATTTTAAAAGCCAGTGCCAATTAAAATGCTTAGGAGAGTTTGAATTCTCTCGAAATAAACCAAGAGAAACAGTCAGTGAGTTCTCACTGGCTTTAAAAATACTATTTTCATGTTGACATATGACATTTCTCGTGAAAATCTTGAGAGAATTAAATTCTCTCGAGTTTGAAAATAGCCCCCCAGGAGTTATAGAAAGGCAGGAGATAGAGCAGAAGGCAGGGGTGCAGGAAATAAGAAGACAGAAAGAATATATATATATATATATATATATATATATAATATATATATATATTTTCAAAATTTATTTTATTATTGTTTATTTATTAGTGTTATGAAATTCCTAAGCCGACCCTGTCTAAAGCATCGACCTTCACGTCTGTGGCACCCGACTCATGCTCGAAACGACGGAATATTCTAGGAATGTCGCTGACGCTCGAGAAACGGTTAGAACGGGCGGAGCGTACCGTTGAGTCAGAGATGGAATTTTCGGGAGCGTCTAGAGACTTCTCGTAGCAGAGTTGGACTTAGTATAAATAGCCCTACTCATCGGTGGACAGTTTAGTTTAGTATAAAGTATTGAAATGAAAAGTTAAATTGTAATAAATAAATTAGAATTGTTAGTTAGTATTATATAAATTAAATAGTACGTCATAAATAAATTGTAAATAGTGTGTTTTAAATAAATAAACTATAAATAAATTAGACTATCGTCACATTTGTGTTGGAAGTGGAACTGTAAATAAATATTGGACAATAATGGCTAAAAAACTGTGATTTAAAACTGAATTGCGTCGAGAATTAAAGGATCGTGATATGGAGACGACAGGGAAGAAAGCAGAGCTGGTTGAGCGGCTTAAAGAAGCAATGAAAAGCGAAAGTTTGGATCCGGAGACATTTCTATTTGCGGATGATGCGTTTTCTATAATTTCTTCATTAGATAGTAAATTTTCTTCCATGGAAACTAAAGTTTCTTCTGACATTACATCCTTGGAAACTAAAGTTTCTTCCGATGTTTCCTCTATAAAAAATGATATTAGTTCCTCAGAAAGTAAAGTTTCCTAAGACATTTCTTCCTTAGACAGTAAAGTTTCTTCCTTAGAAGACAAACTATCTTCCGACATATCTGCTTTAAAAACAGAAATTTCCTTCGACTTGGAAAACAAAATTTCTTCTTCCGTTGAGGAGAAAATAATGTCTTCCATTGAGGAGAAAATAAAAGAGATGGAAAAGAAGATAGAAGAACTGAAACATTCAGAACCGGTCAAGGACGGTGAAATAAGTGTCATGAGGTGGAGTCGAAGTTAAAATTGGAAGGAGCTGTAAACTCTGCTCGTGCTAAAGCCCCAACCTTCGAGGGAAAGATATCATGGACCAACTACCTTAGTTCGAGACAGCTGCGAGGGCAAACGAATTTTCTGAGAGAGAAAAGTGATTCAAATAAATAAACTATAAATAAATTAGACTATCGTCACATTAGTTTTGAAATTTTTGTAGTAAGCCGAAGGAGCCACCACCCTAAGTGCTCTAGAACAGCGGTTCTCAAACTTTTTTGGTGACGGAACCTTCTTGAAACGCGAAATATTTGACGGAGCCCTAAACAGTCCTCCGAGTAAAATACTCCGTGCTCTAGCCTCTTGCTAGGTCCCTCCCGTTTCTTTGGGGAGCCCCTACAACAAAATTCTCAAAGCATATCCTTCCACTGACCTTTAAAAAAATAAAAAGGTCCTCATACCAAAATCATATACTCCTTCCTCTTCCTGACTTCTAAAAAAAAGTCCTCATACCAAAATCGTATAATCCTTCCTCTTACTGACTTCTAATAAAAAAAAAGAGTCCTCAAGCCAGGTCCCATTGTAGCGGTAGGTACTGCTTTTTTTTGTTTCTTCGCGAAGCCCCCACAAAGGCTTTGCGGAGCCCCGGGGCTCCGCGGACCACATTTTGAGTAACGCTGCTCTAGAATATTGGAACGGTTTAACTTAAATTGGCTCGGAACGATCTTAGGGTTGTGACTCAAATCAAATGGTAGTGGGATTTTGAAAATTTTCATTTGAATTATTATTAGAAATTGGGATTGTTACATAGGTTTTAGGATTGGTAGTAAAAATTTAATTTGAGAAAGATGTAAATAGTTTTAGAAAGGTAAAGAAAGTTTAATTTGAATCAAAAGAAAAATCTGATGTGTCCAACACATGACTTTCCTATCTAATTATTATAGGCTTTTTCCGGTTATTTTGTACAACCTATTGCAGCATCTCTATAAATGTTTAGAGGATAAACTAAATATATACATTGTCCACATTCATCTACCTCGAAACAATTTTCAATAGATATTCAATGAAAACGAAAATACTGAAAAATTTAAATTTCCTACAATTTTTTCATTACGGTCCATTTTAGAAAAATCATGTATAAACAAAAATTATAGAAATCGATATCGCAAACAACTTTTAGTTCAACAATTTTCATAAAAATCAGAATTTTGCACATTTTGTCAAATTTCTCGAATACGGACCATTTTAGGAAAATTTTTTATAGAACAAAAATTATAGATAATAATATTAGAAGTAACTTTTATTTGAACAATTTTTTTCTCCAAAGATAAATTCCATAAAATATAAAAATGACCACCTATAAAGTACCCCCCATATGTTCCGACTCTACCCAAAATCTAATCAGACCGTAAACGTAATGCATATCAGCCATTTCCTCATTTGTGTATGCCATTTTAATAAGTGAATTATTAAAGTAACAAATTACGAACAGAACAACAATACACAATTAGTATTACTTCAATTTCAAAAATTTACAAACTGACAGCTTGATTTCAATGTAATTGTCAGTATCGCTAATGGCGATATCTATTATGGCGATATCTATCTTGTTCGTAAAATAATTTTTTGCTGCGAACTGGTTTATTTTGGGCAAAAAATTCAGGAGACATTTTTTGTTTAGAATGAAACAGGCTATCGGAAATAAATTTTTAAATGGTCAACAAATAAGACAATAAGTTACGTTGGAACGAAATTTTAGGGGTTGCGTTTTCCACTCCTTACAACCATGGGGTAAACCAAATAAATTACTGACTAAGTGTCTTTTTGGTAGTAGAAAATGTCAGGTTAATTTCAATATTGTAACTTGCTTACTGCTTGTGAAAAAAATTGTTAAACAAATTTTATGTACCCCCTTTAACAAGGGATGCTCCAATGAAGTTTCTTTATATGAAAGATCCTATCTTGTTTTCGATGAGGAATCATCCCCTTAAATGTTTTACACTTATTTAGTTACATCCTGTATATTATATCGGTACGATGAAGTCTATCAGCCGTATGCATAGTCGATCGCCAGCGACTCGCCAGAGATTCATTTCGGCGTATCGCCAGCGATTCGCTGGCGATCCGCCGGCGAAAGTCCAAAAAGCTGGCGACTCGCCGGAGATTGTCACTGGAATGTCATTTCACGCAAGTTTTCATGTTCTTTTATAGGGAAAAATTTGATATTCGTTCATTATTTTTTGAGTTTTAAGAAATGAATCATGAATAAAATGCGAGAGATACCGGTTATAATCCCTATGAAAGAAAATAAAAACTTGCGTGAAATGACATTCCGGTGACAATCTCTGGCGAGTCGCCAGCTTTTTGGGCTTTCGCCGGCGGATCGCTGGCGATACGCCGAAATGAATCTCTGGCGAGTCGCTGGCGATCGACTATGCATACGGCTGTGTTAGTTCGCTTGAAACAGTGGAAGATTATTGAACGCCTCCTAAAAACGATTATTACGAGGATACGTGCTTTGTTATTATTACTCACTGGGGTAAAATTTTATTAATAACTTAAGCAGCAATCCCAAAACAATGCTTATTTACACCAAAGAAAGCAACAGAAAACCTAGGGAATTTTGAGTTGAAACCTAAGCCGTATTTATAGGCTATTTTAGGACTATTTTTATACTATATTCAAAAATTTTATGCTTCTTGCTTTTTTACAAAAACCAAAGTACTCTACTAGCTTGGAACGAATCCAGCAGAGCACGTCGGTTTTTTAAAGCTTTTTTCTTAAAACAACCACGCCGAATTTTTAGGCTATTTTTATCTCTTGAAATATAAAACTTTACTAAAAAAAATCTATTTTTTTATTAGTACAGGGTGCTTTGTTGGAACAAAGTCAGCACAGCACTTCGATTTATTAATTTTTTTCTTTCTGAAACAACTACGTATGCCACATTTTGAGCTATTTTTAGGTTTTTGAAATATTATAAAACTTTTCGAAACATAAAAAAAAAAATAGAAAAATTCGTTTTTAGAAAAAAGCTTTAAAAAACCGAGGTGCGCTCTGCTGGGTTCGTTCGAAGCTAACAAAGCACCCTATATTATTTAAAAAATACTAACTTTTTTTTCGAAAAGTTTTATATTTGTAGTTTTCAAAAAAAAAAAAAAAAAAACCGAAATGCTCTTCTGACTTTGTTCTAACAAAGCACCCTGTATTATTTAAAAATTAAAAACGTAATATTTCAATAGCCTAAATATATGAGGAAATTTTTATAGAAAAAGTTTTAAAAAAAATACTAATTTTTTTTAAAAGTTTTATAATATTTTAAGAGCCTCAAAACAACTTAAAATGGGACACAAGAGTTGTTTTCAGAAGAAAAAAAAATAATTAACCGAGGTGCTCTGCTGACTTTATTCCAACAAATAACCCTGTAATATTTAAAAATGGCAAATTTTTTTAGTAAAGTTTTGTAATATTTCAAGAGCCTAAAAATGTGGTGTGGTCGCTTTTGGAAAAAGCTTTAAAAAACTGGGGTGGTCTGCTGGATTCGTTCAAAGCTAGAAAATAAGCACCCTATATTTAAAAAAAAAATGCTAATTTTTTTCTAAAGTTTTTATATTTCAAATCCTAAAAATAGCTTAAAAACATGGCAGTAGTTGTTTTAGAAAACAAAAATAATAAACTGAGGCTGGGGTGGGTGGTTCAGTGGTAGAGTCTCTGCCTGTGGATCCAAGGGTCCCAGGTTCGAATCCCACCATTGGCCGGGATTTTTTTATTTAATTATTTAAAATTAATTCTGATGCCTTGGTAGGATTCCCCACTCGACCATTCACTGTTGGGTTCTAATTAACAGTGCTGTTCCTAAAGTGGCGCTGGGAAACAGTTACAAAGCCTACACAGACCACGGGGCTAATGGACACCAAATTAAAAAATAAACTGAGGCGATCTACTGACTTTGTTCCAACAATGCACCCTGTATTATTTAATAATAACAATTTTTAGAAGTTTTATGATATTTTAAGAACCTAAAAATGTGGTTTGTTTGTTTTTAGAAAAATAGCTTTAAAAAACTGAGGTGCTCTACTGCATTCGTTCGAAGCCAGCAAAGCATTGTGTATTTTATTAAAAATACTAATTTTTTTCAAGAAAACTTTTATAATAGGTATTTCAAGGCCCTAGAAATAGCTTAAAAATGTAGTATAAGTAGTTGTTTTCAGGTAAAAAATTTATAAACCGAGGTGCTCTGCTGACTTCGTTCCAACAAAGCACCATGTATTATATAAAAATAGCAATTTTTTAGTAAAGTTTTATAATATTTCAAGTCTAAAAGTAGCCCAAAAATGTGGTGTGGTTGCTTTTAGAAAAAGCTTAAAAAAACTGAGGTGCCCTGCTGACTTCCTTCAAAGCTAGCAGAGCACCTTGATTTTTGTAAAAAAACTAGGAGCATAAATTTTTTGAATAGGGTTAAAAATAGTCTTAAACTAGCCTAAAAATATAGCATAGGTTTTAAGTCAAAATTCCGTAGGTGATTTGCTGCCTTTTTTGGTATTGCATATTTGACAGAAATGACAATTAAGTTGTTATTAGTCATGAAAGTTATTAGTTATTTTTTATGAATCAAGTGCGGGAAGATTATGTTCATGCATAAGCAAATTAAGGATGAGCAATGAAGGAGCGAATGCCTTAAGTTGCTTAAATGCCTGGAAGATGTCTTCATTCATGAAGTTGGCATATTTTTTGTAATGAACAAAACTGTTTCCATATAAACGCTAAATAAAAATTTGTTGTAATATAAAACGATGCAAGCTAAGAGTGCATCACATAACTTTGACATTTAATTTATTTCAACAATTTGTCTTATTTTCCTGAGTATTAATAAATGGTATTGCAGGTGAAAGTTATTTTATAAACTAAATTTCATTATCAATAGATTAATTTTAAAATGTCTGGATCAGTATATTATAAAGGCCATATATTCGTTGTTTTACCAGATCATGTGAAGTTTAAAATAATTAAATGTATTTGGGTATATTTACAGCTATTGGGGTTAGACTTTAAAATAATTAAAAATATATGTCTTATAAATATTATTTTTTATTTATAACAATAAAAAATATTTCATATAAAATATATCTGAGTATATCTTTGTGACTAAAACTAAAATATAAAAGTTAGATCTGACTATAATATCCATAAATTTGTCAGAAATCAATTATTATTCACGATCTATAAAACATGGCAAACAAAACTGATATCTTAAGAAGGTCCGAAAACTATTAAAATAATAATATAAGTGTTCACACCTTCCAAATTCCTGGTGTTTATTGAAAATAATTTTCAGTTTTGAATAGTTCTGAATGATGAAAAGAGTTCTTCTTATCTACATTTTTCTTCTGAAAAAAAAAAAAAAACGAGAAAAATTACTTTAATAATCACAAATTGATATACATTTTTTTGTTTCAATAATGGGGACTCACAAATAATGGTGTGAAAATTTGAGTAACTTTAACAGTTTTTTCGGTGCATCCCAAATTTGTCTCTGCCTTTTCAACTTCACTTTCCAGTTCATCTAAATTACTCTTTATATGTGATATAAGTCTTTCTATTGTGTCTATTTTATTACAGAGATCTGTAAACTCAGCTTTATAATTTGGAATAGAAGTTAAAATATCCTTGTAATCCTTCCTATCTTGGACAAGGAACGTCATCATAATCTCAAATTCTTCAAGTTGAGTTAACATTTCATCAATAGAATTACTTAAAGGATTTACCTAAAAATATATTTTAATTTAGAAATGCCCTCAATTGGTCTAAATTATTACTAATTATTTTGGAATATAAAAACTTACAGCAGAATTAAGATCTATCTGTAAATATTTTTTGTAATCTTTAGCGGTCTTTTCTACATGTTCCATATTAAATAAACTATTAATTAAAATAAAACAGAATGAATAAAAGTTTTGTTGTATGTTTCGAATGTTGACATTTGACATCGGACATCCACCAAAATTGACACAAATGACAAACTACGAACAGAGCAAGTCAATTTTTTACGATAAAGGGGATGTCAGTAAATAGTTAAGCGACGACTCTTATTACAAAAAAAAGGATAAATTATAATTAAATATGTTAGTTTTATGTACATATAAATAGCATGTACTATTTTATGTTTTATTATAAGTATATGATATATATTATATTTTGAAATGGATCAATGCGAATATCTGTTTCAGTTCCAGTGTAATTTCGAATCGATACAAAAGTTGACAGATGACAGTGTCGCCCAATGGTGTCGCCATCTTTAATACTGAGGAGTGGGTGATGGACGTTGGCGTTTGTTGGTAATTTTTTTGAAATTTTGGATATAATTCGGAAATGGTATCTCCAAAGGCAGTTATAGGAATTTGTGCAGGTGTATCAGCTACTATATTTCTAGGATATTGTATTTATTTTGACAAACAACGCCACAATGATCCAAATTTTAAAAAGAAACTAAGAGAAAGTATGTGGTATTTTAAAGGTTATGTGAATATTTTAATTTTATTGTTTTGTAGGGAGACGCGCCAAAAGGGCGGCATCTGATTGCAAGAAAGCTAGCACAGTATTTCCTGATATGAAAGATCATGAAGCAGTACAAAAATTTTTCCTTCAAGAGATTCAATTGGGTGAAGAACTATTGGCGGCAGGTGACCTTGAAAATGGAGTCGACCATCTTGGCAATGCAGTAGCTGTATGTGGGCAACCAAACGATTTATTACAAGTCTTACAGCAGACACTACAACCCAATGTGTTCCACTTACTTATCCAAAGACTGCCATGTGTAGCACCCCGTCTGATGAAAGGCAATACTGGTGGTCTTCAAGAGGATGATGTTGAATAATTTTTAACTTCTTCTACAGTTCATTAGTCTCATTTCGTTATCTCGTTAGAATTGTTCTAGATACCTGTCACCCCTTTGTTGCTGTATCAAAGTAATAAATACTGATTACTTGAGCAATACATTATTCAAATTTTGGATGTTGCGCATATTGTACTTTGAGATATTCTCATAAGATATCGTGAAACACAAATCGTTAATTATTATCGAATTTAAAGAGATATTTAGATGGAAATATAAATATATTTGTGAATAATTCTTTTTCTAATCCCCCTATTTTACTTTTTTTTACATACAGGATACTTTATTAGCTTTAATCGAAGGCAGCAGAGCACCTCTGTTTTTTATAAAAGCCACCCATTTATTTTTAGGCTCCTGAAATATAAGACATTCTGAAAAAAATTGCCATTTTTAAAAGTATGCATTCCTTGCTGACGTCAGTTTTTTTATTTTTTCTAAAAAAAAAATATACATTTTTAGGCCTTTATTAGGCTCTTAAAATAAAAACTAAAAAAAAAATTATAGCAGAGCACCCTGTATTTTTAAAAGCAATTTTAACGAAATGTATATATTTCAAGATCCTAAAAATAAGATGTTAATATTAAAAAAAAAGAACTAAAAAAACATGGTGCTTTACTAGGTTCGTTCGATGTTAACAAAGCACAATTTTTTATATTTATTTTCAAGAACAAGTCTCAATATTTCAAGAGCCTTAAAATGTGTGGTTGTTTTTAGAAAATTGCTTTAAAAACTGAGGTGATCAGCTGGCTTTGTCCGAAGCACCCTCCATTTTTTAAAAAATATTTTTTTGTCAAAAAGCTTTATATTTCAAGAGCCTATTAATGTGCCATGAGACAGTTTTCGAAAAAAAAAAAAATTAAACTGGTGCTCTACTGACTTTTCCCAACAAAGCACACTATATTTATTTAAAATTTTTTTTTTGCAATAGTTTTTATAATCTAAAAAAATCTGATTGTGACCCAACACATGACTTTCCTATCTAGTTATTATAGGCTTTTTCCGATTATTTTGTACAACCTATTTGCAGCACCTCTATATAATGTTTAGAGGATAAACTAAATATATACATTTTCCACATACATCTAACTCGAAACATTTTTCTATAGATATTCATTGAAAACAAAAATACTGAAAAATTTAAATTTAGCACTTTTCCTTCAATACGGTTCATTTAGAAAAATCGTATAAAAAAAACAAAATTATAGAGATCGATATCACAAATAACTTTTATTTAAACAATTTTCTAAAAATTTGAATTTTATTACATTTTGTCAAATTTCTCGAATACGGACCATTTTAAAAAAAAATTGTATAGAACTAAAATTATAGATAATACTATTGTGCGTAATTTTTATCAACAATTTTCTTCTCCAAACATAAATACCAGATATATTCCATAAAATATAAAAACCGGCCTCCCATAAAGTACCCCCCCAAATGTTCCGCCTTTGTCCAAAATCTAATAATTTCACCTCAGGCCGAAATAAAACTTAAGTTTAAAATTTAATGTTTTTTTCCTTTATCCGTTTTGAGTTTCTTCAAAATTCGAAATTTACACATTTTCTCAAATATCTCGAATACGGTCCATTTTAGAGAAATTATGTATGGGATAAAAATTATAGAGAATTATATTACAAACAACTTTTATCAGAACAATTTTTATAAAAAAATAATTTTTTTACATTTTTGTCAAATTTCTCGAATACGGACCATTTTTAGGAAAATTTTTGTATAGAACAAAAATTATAGATAATAATATTATAAGTAACTTTTATTTGAAGAATTTTCTTCTCCAAACGTAAATAACGGATATATTTCATAAAATATAAAAATGACCACCAATAAAGTACCCCCCCCCAAATGTTCCGACTCTGCCCAACAATCTAATCAGTTCACTGCAGGCTGGAATAAAGCTTAAGTTTAAAATTTGGTGTTTTTCCTTTGTATCGGTTCATGAGTTATGGTGGATACAGGACACACACACAGACATCATTCCGAAAATAGTCAAAACGGATTCAGGGGACCCCAAAACGTAAAAATCCGTCGAAAAAAATCATGATTCCTATACTTTCCTTATCTGTATACAGATAGGAAAGTAAAATGGGGTGAGGTTGTTTTTAGAAAAAAAGCCTAAAACACTGAGGTGCTCTGCTAGCTTCATTCGAAGCTAGCAAAGCACCCTGTATATTTTAAAAATATGGTGTTTTTAGAAAAAAATTTGATTTTTGTAAAAATAATAATTTTAATAGGGTATAAAAATAGCTAAAAATATAGCATAGGTTTGAACTCAAAATTTCCTAGGTGATCTGATGCCTTTGGCATATCTCCAAGTCTTCTATTTGGGCCAATTCCGATCTAATAAAATATTCACTAGCATGTATAATCAAACAGTAATGTGTATTTGTGATTGTTTTTAAACAATTAATATCTATCGAATGTATGACCAATGCTTGTAATCTGAGTGGGGTAATTTTGATCCTATATCCTAGGAAAGATTTGGTGCATCAGAGTAAATGGTTGCTATATCATTCTAAATGAACCAATTCTTTTTTATTTTTAACTGCTAGTTTTCACCGAAGCAGGTGTCCAAAAAGTGCTCTGATGTGCAACTTGAGGTAGAGTATTTATACTTTGATCTTAAGACCACAAATGTGTCTCCTATAAAGGCCTGAACATCTTGACTTTATAGTATGCTCAAGAGTCCTCTGACTCTTCATTTATTTGTACATTGCCCATAAAAGTACTGGCACTACTTAATGGCTTAAATACATATATTGATACAAAGTGAACCTAATAAGTTGTTTTATATTTTATTTAAAAATTCAAAAAAAATTACATCAAAATTTCCTAGTATGAATAAATGTTTTTTTTAACTTATTACATTATGAAGGCCCCACAACGGTAATTCTTTTTCACTTCTTCGGGCAGACATAACCTCCATTATTAACTTTTTAGGTTTAGGTGTAAAATCATTTAGAAGAGTCCTGAATTAATATATTTATAGATATTTGCCATTTTAATTGTGAATTTTTATTGAAATAAGGACTACCTAATGTTTGGAATTTTTATTATAAATAGAATGGTGTTCCAAAATATGAAGTAATTAAACTTTCACATCCAAAATTTTAGGTGTGGATATAACTAAAAACCAATTATGCAAAAATTATTTAATTGGGCCTTTCAAGGCATCATTAGTAAAAGCCATGAAGCTACAAATGTTAAATAAAGCTAAACAAAAATGTTCATATTAGAACTGTTATCATTTTTGAAACACTATGCATGTAAAGCGGCTTTAACTTGAGCTTGTTGGAATTGATGTTGTAATTTTTGTAATCCTTCTCTGTGGCCATCCTGGTTCTTCTCTAAAGTAATAATCATATTGTCCACACGTTTTAATTCCGCATTTATATAATCTATCCTCTTACTAACATTGTGTTTGGCTTCTACTAACTCAGTTTTGATCAGAACTGGTCCTACAGATTTATAGACTTTACCATCGCTTGGAAGTAAATCTAATTCTTGTTTTACTAGTTCGTTTTCGTTTAACTGGCCATCAAGTTGCTGTCTGTTTTGAATAGTTTTCTGTAACTCTTAAAAAAAATTCAATTAGGTTAGGTTGCCCAACAAGTAAAACATTATAACAAACCTTTCTGTGTTTTCTTGAAATTATCTAATTCATTTTGTAATTTTCTTTGAATATCATCACTCATTTTGGGAATTGAAACTGTCGGTTTTTGACAAAATATAGAAAAATTAGTTGCTCTGGGTGAAAATTTCTAAATCTGAAAAATTAAGTTCTCGTTCGCTCTCGCGTTTTTCTCGGTTCGGCCTCTGTTCGGCTCGGCTCGCTCCACCACAGAACACTAAATAGGTTCTTTCGTTCGCTATTGGTGTAGTGTCCACCAGTGTAAATTACACCAGTTACACCACCTTATTTACCCTAATTTACTTCCTCCTTATTCCTTATACACATCGTCGAGTGTAATTCACTCCAGGGGACCTATTTTCAAACCGTGTGAGTACTCATTTCTCTCAAGATTCTCATCAGAAATGTCATACGTCAATGTGGAAATGTTTTTTTTTAAAGGCATCGAGGATTAAAATTCTTAGGAAGATTTTAATTCTCTCTAAATAAACCGAGAGAAACAGTCAGTGAGTTCACACTGGCCCTAAGAGCCCTAAAAATACGGTTTTACGTTGACGTATGACATTTCTCTTGAGAGAAATGAATTCTCTCGAGTTTGAAAATAGCCCCCCAGGGGGTCGATTCTCGACTCGTAGGAATATTTTCCTATAGGAATTTTTGACATTTTTATATACATCGAAAATTTATGACATTTTCCTACATATAGGAAAGTGTCACAAATTCCTATAGGAAAAGGTTCCTACAAGTCGAGAATCGACCCCCTGGGCGTCGATTCTCGACTTGTAGGAACCTTTTCCTATAGGAATTTGTGACACTTTCCTATATGTAGGAAACTGTCATAAATTTTCGATGTATATAAAAATGTCAAAAATTCCTATAGGAAAAAATTCCTACGAGTCGAGAATCGACCCCCTGCTAAATAGCTGGTGGAGAAAATATCCACCAGTGTACACCACATCGCCGACAGGAAGGTATAGTGGGTTTTACACCGGACCAAACGGAAGGTATGGGTGTGGGTTGGTGTAGTTCATTACTACACCCAACTACACCAGTGGGACGAACAAAAGAACCTATTTACTCTCGCTCCACGAATGTTCTACTTTTTTTATGTCGGTAAAGCAGGACACTACTGTGTAGAGTTATTTAATAAGTGGCGGGCACCAAAATTTATGCAACGGCAAATATTTTTGTACTAATGACCTATTTTTACGTTTACTAACAATACAATTTTTAATAGAATTCGTAATTAAAAAGTATATATATTAGTTTTAATAAAAGTATATGGATTTGTACAACAAGTGAAACATTAATTTATCATTATTATATATTTTTAACGCTTAAACTAAACAAAAAATAGGTATAATCAATAAAAATCAATAATAAAATATATGCAGGCAACATTATTTACAGGAAAACAACAGGAAAATGTATGAGAAGTTGCCTAAGTCTAATAATTTCTAATAATAATAATAAAGAATTAACCTATTCTGCCAAACTAAAAAAAAATACCATTAAATAATAGCGTGAAGTTAAAATGTATAAACAGAAGGACTGTTATTTATATTTTCATTTTTGTTCAAAAGAAAACATAGAATGAATGATTAAAACTGGTTTCCTATCAGTGTCACAAAATTTCATTCCAGCTACATACAATAATCAAAGGCAGAAATCTAGTTCTTGCTGAACATTTAATATTAAAGGGATTTTGAAGAACATCGTAAAATGATAATTTATTGTTTATTTAAAACCTTTCAAGTTTCTGATGTCTACTACTACTACTTCCAGCGTTACTGTTATTATTACAAAAATAAAGGTAATTTTTCTTCTTATTGTATAGCTATCCATTTATTTTTTTGATTTAATTTCCACTTTGCTACTAAAAATTTTTATAATTTACACTGTTTTTTTTGCTAATATTTTTTCAATTTACAACACAGCAAATCCGGTTGCTTATTGTATTGTTTTTACCTATGTTTTTGAAAAAATATAAAATGAATACGTGTGTAGTTGGTATGCCAAAATTACAAAAGATCGCCCTAAAATGGACGAAATATCCGCAGCTAGCACTAGTATCATAGATAAATTAATATTTTATTAATTTATCTATGACTAGTATCGCTTCTGCTGACTTCGCACAAAGCGAATAAAGGCTAGAGAGAAGGAGGCGAAACGGCATACCCGAAATACGGCCCCAAAAAAACATACGCTAATTAAGCCTATACAATTTACCGCAGGGGTGCTGGTGTTAAAAATACATGGCTTCTTATGGGAATTTTACATTATTGAGCAATAAACTTGTTTATTGCTAAATAAAGCACATAAAATACTGTTGTATTTATTTCTAAATAAGTTTTGTATGTTTCAATTGACAAATTATTTAATTTTATCTATATAAAAATGCAAATTAGGTAGGTATGACCAAATTCGAAAAGATTTGTTAAATAGTGAAATTTAATTGTTAGTACAATTTTGTGGCTAATTTTCTTTGAATTGTACCTAAATATAGTTTTAAGAGCAAAATAAAACACTGTTAACAGATTTTTTATTGTTGTAATACAAGCATAAAGGAAGATTTCTTATTGTTATAATACAAGTATAAATGGGAGATTTGGGATATGTTCATGGTATTGCCTCATTCTTTAATTTTGGCTTCCCCTTTTTATTTTGCTAACAGTACCATAAGTAAAAAGAGTCTCATAATATTTGGAAATATCTTTTGAAAAGTGTAGCTCGTAAATAGCATCATCTCTAGAAAGTCCTTTATCAGAGCCCTATGAATGATATGCTGCCACTGTTTCTAAATGTTTAGGATCCTATAAAAAACATTTACAATTACAAAATTGGGGTTCAACAAAAAAAGTAGTAGTAACTCTTCATCTAACGTTAAAACTCTAAAAATAACAAATATTCTTTTCTAATATGTTGAATTTACTGTGTATAGTTATTGTTGTTTGTAAGTCAGGATTTAGGACTATAAAATTTTATATTAGATAGAAACTTGTAATAAAATAAACTTCATAATAAATGATAATAATAATAAATATTATATTTAGAAATACATGCATTATTTTACTTATACTAGGAGCTTTAAAAAGACTTTACATCTGATTTATATCCCGTTTTACAACCAGGAACGAGGTAAATCTTGCGTTTTTTGTCACCCATGTTACTTGTACTTAAGTACTTTTTTCACATTATTTTGATAATTTTCACCAATTTAAAAAACAAAATGGTCTTTTATTTAATTAATTATCTGCTTGGTATACGAACTATTCGACGCCGATGACACCAAATTAAAAAAAAAAAAATTTTTAAAAAATGCAAGCGGTGAAAATCAAAATGCGTTTCATATCAGCTACCTGTCTACTTAAGTGAAAACAGACCCTGAAGTAGAAGAAGTCTGTGACAAGGTGTGACACATGACAGAAAATTTTCAAATTTTCATGACGGTTTTTGATTGACGATTGGTGTTTGTAAAATGTTTGTATAATACAAAAAAAAAAATACAAATTGTATTTTGCATTTTGGAGTATGTTTTAAAGTGTGAGGTTGTATTGTACTGGTGTTAGTGTTTTCTTTTAGTTAAGAATTTCAGGTATTTAAAGCATTACTAATATAATCCTTTGTTTTAATTTAACCCTTTTTTCCCGAGTTTGAAATTTAGGAGAAATTGTTTCCTCTGTCTTTTATTAACAAAAAATAATTTAATAAATTAAAAGCGAGAATAAGGTAGTTAGATGGGAGACAACTCAGGGGTGTGGGACCCCCTGCTGTAGGGCTGCCATACCTCCCGATTTAGGCGGGAGTCTCCCGATTTTTCTCACTCCTCACTCCCTCCCGCTTTTTAAACTAAGCTTTAGGGTAAATTCATAAACTACGTTCAGTTCACGCTCAGTTCGAGTGACAACCACAAATTCCACAAAATAAAATTATATTTTGGTGTTATTTTTGTTTTAATTATATTTGTAGATGGTGTTGGTTATAAAATAATTATGAATCCGTTATAATTTCTTATCCAAAACATACTTACCGTGTCATTCTGCTCTGTTTATGTTGAACTCGAACTGAGCGTGAACTGAACGTAGTTTATGAATCCACCTTTACGGTGGATTCATAAATATAATTTTATTTTGTGGAATTTGTGGTTATGTCTTGCCAACTCGAACTGAACGTAGTTTATGAATCCACCCTTAAACCTCCCGATTTTTCAGAAATCTCCTAATTTACCTGGAATTTACATTGAAGGATAGAGCTACTGGTAAAGATAATATATCCTTGAATATATCTTTCTCGTTGTTAATTAATCTCCTTAATATAGCTCAACTTAAATTGCTGCAATTTTATAATGGTTTTACTGACAACTGCAATTAAACTTCGCTAGTCAGACCCCCACCTTGACTATCACTCTTCCGTTTGGTCTCCACACTATATAACATGTAGTAGGAAAATAGAGTGTTCAGCACAACTTTCTCAGATATGTAGCTTTTAAATTGGGTGTTTATTGTGAACATGATTTCATGGAACAGTTTCTGAAAATCCTCTGCTTGAAAGCTAGGCGAAAACAGAGAGGCTTTATTTTGCAATTTAAGATTATAAAAAGTAGATGTAATTGTCCTGAACTTCCGGAAAAAATAAATCTTTTTTTGTTCAAACTCGTTCAACTAGGAAACCGCAAACATTTTATATACCTTTTTATTGATCAAACCAAGCTTTTAACAGCTGCATTCCAAGAATGCTTAGATTAGCTAACTTGCACAATGATTTAAGGTTGTTCAATATTCCCTTTTCATCATTCAAAACTCAATTCTCTTTTTTAACCTTTGACTAACCATTTTGTTATTTTAAATGTTCCTAGTTTATATGATATGTCTTTGTGCCACAGCCATAAATATTTGTGATAGTTTAATTAATTTTTTAAATTTCATTAACTTCCTGTATGGGTAAAATTGTGGAGAGTGTAATTAAGATTCCTCTGGAATGGTTTCTAGAATATAGAATAATATTCAAATTTCAAATGGGTTTTAGAAGAGAAAGGTGATGCAATCTCAATCTTGTCACATTCAGTAATAAAAGCTTTTGGTGGAAAAAGCATTTAATTGCAATATTTATTTACATATGACAGCATATGATGATGTAGTCATCTATATTCTTTATAGAAAAATGTTAGGTCTCAATATCTCATCTTATACTAATTTGTTATTATATAATAAGAGAATTGATAAGAATAAACTTCCTTATTCCTATCTGACGTCCTAGTATTTTAAATCATCTAAAAGTTATTAAAGTAAATTATGTAATTTGTTGACACATTTACAATAAAAATAGATAATACTTAGATTAAAAAAAAAAATGTATATACATAAATTTCAGAATAGTTCCTGAACTGTTTAACCTGTGTTCATTTACTATCCAGAGCAACGTTTCAGGGGTTTGTGTAATGCTCGACACTTGTCCAGTTTATACCTATGTTGTGTTGTCTATTATGTCAAGCCTAAGGTCAAGTATTAGTATGATCAATGGAAAACATTAAAAATGGATTTTTTCAGTGGGAAGATGGAAAATTCCATACATTATTCAATGAATATTCTTAAAATATAAGATAAATTACCTGCGCTGGCTAAATACCCAAGGGGTTGAGGCCAAAAAACTAAAATAAGTAGATGTCTCTGACACATGACAGTTAATTTTCAAATTTAATGAGAGTTTTTTATTGTTTCTGTTGCCTTTGAGTTTAAATTTGTTTTCTTTTAAAGCAGTGGAGGCTTGTGATTAAAGACAATGGGTGTTCTGCAAAAGTCTGCCTCCCCCCTATTGCTACATCATAGCATAACCAACTTATTCTACATTAATTATATTCTGCGATCCTTTTTAGCAGCAAACTTATATTCATACGAGTATTAACTTAAAACTAACATCCTTGTCTTTTATGTACAATGGGCACGTGCTGGCGAATTAACACAACTAATAATCTACAAAACTGAAATCACATCACATATGCGACAAGACTATAAACAAAGCTCGCCGATCTGGCAAAAATGTAGCCCAGACACTACGTGTTGCGGGCGGCCCTAGCACAGTCCCTCCCGAAGCGACCTAGCTAAGAAATGAATATGATCTGGCGAGGTTTTGTTGTCTTCCACTGGTCCGCTCTGGACTTATTCTCAGCTGTGAACTGCCAGTAGGATACTTTTGAGTGATATGGATACTATTTATAATTAAAATTAATGAGATTATCCATAAAATTTATTTTACGTATATTTTAGAATTTCTAAAATAATTTCTGTGAAATGTACATAATATACTTGATTGTTTTTAAGTGTGTTCAAAGTTTTAATCATTATTTGAAAACAGTTACGAACTCAGTTGGGTTGAAATAGTTCTTGTAGCTGCAGAGATGACAGAAAAACAAACATCCAAGAAAAGAAAGTCCATGCTGCAGGAAATTCAAGAAAGCCCACCATCAGATGATGAACTTCATTTTTCTGATGACGATGATGGCGATATTATAGATGGTATTCGGATTCCTCCACCATTTAAACCGACCTTATCATTTGATCCAACTGGGCCTCGCCTTATTATAACTAAAATAGTAAACAATTTTTTCAAAAGTTATGCGGACGAACAAGTTTTGGGACCTTTTCACAAGGTAGGAGTATCATATATATTTATCTTATATTATGGTAAACAATGTTTGTTTCAGTGTTTCAATGCGATAGTGGGACCTAATGGAAGTGGTAAAAGTAATGTTATTGATTCTATGTTGTTCGTTTTTGGGTATAGAGCAGCAAAGATTAGATCCAAAAAAGTATCAGTTCTATTACATAATTCTAACAAATACAGAAATGTCCAGACTTGTACAGTAGCTGTACATTTTGCGCTAATTATTGATAAGGTTAGTCAATAGACTTATAAAAGATTTAAAACATTTTGAGCTTTATTTTATTATTTTTAGGATGGAGATAATTATGAAATTCTTCCTGGCAGTGAATTTATAGTTGCTCGATCTGCTAGTAAAGACAATTCTTCCTATTACACTCTAGATGGTAAACGTGTTCAATTCAAGGAAGTTGGAAAATTGCTAAAAAGCCATGGTATAGATTTGGACCACAATAGATTTCTCATCCTACAGGTATATTTTAATTTCTTCTTGTATACGGTTTATTTTTGGTTACCTTTGTTTAGGGAGAAGTTGAGCAAATTGCTATGATGAGTTGCAAAGGTGACAATGAACATGAGTCTGGCATGTTGGAATATTTAGAAGATATCATAGGTACAACACGTTATAAGGTTAGTGAACATGTTTTAAAGCATTGATTAATCCCAATATAAGAATGAAACAAGTAAATTACATTCTATATTTGCATTGGTTTCAAAAATTTTTGTAATCGTTGCTCTTATGTAGTTTTAAAAAATCATAACTAATGTTTAGTATTTAATTTTTCTTAGAAACCGTTGGTACAAGTTAATGAAAGGGTAGAATATCTAACAGAACATAGGACAGAGAAGTTAAACAGATTAAGATTAGTGGAGAGAGAAATGGAAGAATTAAAAGAACCAATGGAAGAGGCAGTTGGATTTTTACAAACAGAAAATAAAGTTGTTACTAGCAAGAATTTTCTATACCAAAAAAATATGTAAGTTATATACTTTTTTTAAAACTCTCAATAGACCTACAATGGGGAATTCTCCTATAAAAAGAAAATATATAAATAATGAAAACTAACTAAAATATATGATGAAATAAATTTTTGTCTCAAAAAAAATTCCTAGTTAAGTAGTTAAAATTGTAAAATCAGGTACTTATTTAAAGTTACTATTTTGACACTTTCCAACAATGTAAGGTTGTTTCTTAGGGAATAATCAAGTTATGGATTCAGAAAATCGCTTCCATCCTGTTCTGTTATATAAGAGAAAGCTAGCAAGATTTCAGAATAGTTTGGATCACTCTCATAAACGTTATATATGGGGTAGCGAAAAAGTCGCATAATGTTGTTTTTTCTTTAAAACGAATGAATGTATAATTATGAAATTGTAGGGTGATGTATGGGACTAAATTACGTTAATGTTTTTTTCTGATCCTGTACGTACAGGGTAGCGAAAAAGTCTGGCAACAAGGTATTTTAGGGTGATTAGGACTGTATTACATTAAAAATGTACTTTTTTAGTATTCTTGAAAAGAGAAATAAAAGCTTTTTTTTCTGATATATCACTCGACCTACGTTGCTATTTAAAAAGATATAAGATGGCGGCGGTACGCTAAACGCTGTTGTCACATAAATGTGATATAAAAGCCATAATACAATCCCATTAATCACCCTACAATTTCATAAATTATACATTTATTCGTTTCAAAGGAAATACTTTGTTGCAAGACTTTTTTTGCTACCCTATATATTTATATCAGTTTTTACAGCGGTTTACTAATAAATAATAAATTTATATTTGCATTATATGCTACCTTATAAAAAAGTAGTGTTTAATGTAGCTTCTTATCTTGAAGTGATCTTTACAACAGTATTTTATACTTTTTACAACTTAAAAAGTCCTATAGCCTGATACCTCAATTTTCCTTATTCAAGACTCTGGGCACAAATGTTCTGTTTGGAGAAGTATATGTTGAATTTAAACAATTTGGTACAAAGCACTTTTTCGTCTTCTCACAAGACACAAATAAAATATCTTTAAGCAAAGGCGTTTAGATTACATTCGTGAACAAGCCACAATTAGATTAAGATTGTAAACTACAAGATTACTTATATTATTTCTATATACTTTTAGATTACTTCTTAATATGCTTTTTATAAACATTTAAAGGTTGTTATAAGAAATCATTCATTATAACATAACAAATTAAAACAGTACCTAACCTCATTCGGTTTTTAAATTAGACCCTTCTTGTATTATTACTATTTTGTGGTTATAATCAGTTGCAATCACAAGTCATGTAAACGAATAATATATCTAAGAAGTAACTCAGTTTAAGATAATGGTATTAGACCCTTCCCGACCATCGTCAATTACTAGGCAACATTGCCAAATTTCAAATAAGTAACGGCACTTTAAAGTTTAAAGACCGCGAATAGAATATTTTTTTTTCTTCTCCAAATTGGGTATGAATTAAAAAAAAATATTAAACCTATGTTTATATCTAATTTTAGATAATGACGGATTTAAGTTAAAATTTTATTTGAGAAATTTTTTAAAATTATTTTCGTGTATAATTTTCTATTTGTTTTTAGTAACTGTCAATTTTTGAAATAGAAAAAAAAAATTAAAATTTCACATTGTAATAAAGTATAATTTATAACCACCGTAACATAACTTAACTTAACGCCGTAGAAACTTAACCTAAGATATAAAAATAAAGTATATTTATAAATGTACTTTAAAAGCAATAATATAAAAATATAATAAAACAAAATAGTTTACCGAAGATGTTGATTGTTTTTGAGCAATAATGAGAATTTAATCTTTCCTAGCAAAAAAGTTTTGTGTCTTATTTCAGTTCTAGACTTGATGTTTATAGGTATATGCAGCTACACTCATATCTCATAGATATTTTTTCCCCAATAACATAAACACAAATCATTCATGATAATGTATGTCCATCAAAAAGGAGAATGATAGTTTACAAATGGTATTTTTCTATTTATTTATAAAAAAAATGAAAAGAGAATAATTGACAGTTATCACATGCTGAACGCAGAATTATCTCATTGGCTAACCGTAAGGTCTTAAGTTAAGTTATGTTGTTAAGTTAAAAGTTGGCGAACTTTCTACGGTACGTTAAGTTTTTAAGTTACGTTAAGAACATTATAAATAAGTATACGTAAATTCAATATTTCAACTTCTTACGTTAAGTTCTTAAGTTACGTTACGGCGGTTATAAATTAAGCTTAACACTTATTCTTTTTTCTTTCTATATTTTTTACATAACAGTTTTTAACAAAATGATGTGACTGAGTAAAGTACTTTTTTTTCAATTATTTAGATATGGTCTGGAGAAAAAATTAGAACAACTTGATAAAGAAAAACAAGAAATTGTGGAGGTTCAAAAAAACTTTGAAGATAAGCTGAAAAACATAGGAGAAAAAAAATGTGAAAAAGAAACAATACTTCAACATAAATCTAAGTAAGTTCTATTTATTAACAACAATTATATATTTGCATACAGGGTCATTCTATATGAGCGGAACACTTGATTTATGGCTTAACTATGACTTGAACGATAATTTGACTTAGATAAAAGTTTTTGTACATTTTATGTACTATTTATTGACGTTTACAGATTTCCTGCATACGTAATGATTTTCAAGATATGACGTCATCGGGCAATATTTTAAATGGATCACCCTGTATTTATATTTTTTTTCGAGTTCGTATGATCTGCCTGATTTCATCAATGGTACATTAAGTGGGTCCCAGACTTACGGTCTTATCAATAACAATTAAATTAGATTATACTTTAATAAGATGCATTTTAAATATTTTTAATGGATCACCCTGTATTTATATATTTTTTTTTTCGGTTTCCTGGCAATATCATGATCTATTAACAAAAAATCTTAACGTCAAATCACAGTAAATACAAATATCTTTAGTGTATAGATTAAGTATTTGATTATTATTACTAACAATGGAACTAAGTGAACGTGAAAGAATTACACTGTTGATGATGGTTGGTTTTGGAGATAGAAAGAGAGGTTTACAAGAAGCTGCCGATTTGTTTAATGCTACATTTTCTGACAATGTCTCTAATTTCTAAAACTTCCATAGCAAAACTTGCATTAAATAATGATATTAGCCAGAGTTCTGTAAGAAGGATACTGATAAAAAATCATTTTCATCCGTATAAAGTTCAATTACATCAAGAATTAAATGAAGATAATCCTGATCGACGAATGCAGTTTTGCCAAGAAATGATGGATAGAATTAATGGGAACAATATTATGAATAATATTGTGTTTTCCGACGAATCAACGTTTTGTCTAAACGGATTTGTCAATCGGCATAATTGAAGGTTATTGGTCTGATCATAATCCACACTGGATGATAGGTCACACACAATATCCACAAAAGCTAAAGGTTTGGGCTGGTATAGTCGGAGGAAGAATAATTGGACCTTTTTTTCTGAGACAAACTTTAAATGGTGATCGCTATTTACAACTTCTGCGAGGACAAATAGTTCCAGAATTAATCCGTATATTTCCCAATCGTGCTAATCATATTTACAATGTCCTGCAGTAAATGTAAGGTCACTGAATCCAAAGAAGAACCATTAACCAATTGTGATAAATGCACTAGTAAATACCGTCAAACTTGTGCTAGGCTCTCTACTACTGAATACAAAGCAGCAATACTTAAATCTTCCAGAACCTTATTATTTCTGTGTCCAAATTGATTTGATTTCCTACAACCAGAAACTGAAATAAAAAGTAAAATTGAAGCTGAACTGAAATCCCTAAGAGATTAAATTTTATCAATTAAAAATTATTTCTTTTTTTTTTTTCTAAAAATAGTAGATTGTTCAAAAAAGATGAAACTACTGATATTCTAAAAGCCGAAATACTAAAACTAAAAGAAGAATTTAAAATCGAAATAAAACAACTAAAACATGAAATAATTAATCTCAAAGAGTCAAATATAGATATGATAACACTAATGTTCAATGCTCCCACCAGTGTGAGTCTCTCAAGTAGAAAACCATTTGCTGAAATAGTTCAAAAGATACCCTCCAACATCTTAGCATCCACACAAAAGAGCAATTAGCATCACGCGACAAATTCTTCTCATAAAGATAATCTACTTACTCATCATAAGCCAATATTCTACACTATATCTCAACTAAGTAGTAAAAATCCACCTCTGCAGTCACCGATTCAAAGCTATAGAAAAAAAAGTCATAATGATCGTCGAAGAGACCACTCACATAAATGATTAGAGGTAGGTAACGAACCATTTATAGAAGTGGAAAATAAACGTAAGAAAAAACGTGAAAAAAATCGGAACCCGTATAAGTCAAGAAGAAAATACAGACAATGCATTTGAGGGCGCATCAAGCACAAAGAAGTTATGGATTTTTATATCCCGCGTAAAAGATCATGGGTCTGAAGATAAAGTAAAAAGTTACATCGCTAAAAAGTCTAATACTAACCAAATTGATGTTAAACCTCTCAAAACCTATTATCAAAAAAATGATACCAAGTGTTTTTTGGTTGTTATTGACCACTCGTTAAAAAGTGTTGTTTATGATCAGTCGTTTTGGCCAGTAGGAGTAGCTTTTGAAAGGTTTAACTTCAAAAAAGGTCAACATTTTTTAGATAATCTTCGCTACAAAAATACAGGTATTAAAAACACATCATTTGCTTCAAATAATTCGGTTTTTTCGAATCCCTAAATAATCACCTTCCTTTCAAAAATAGTAATAAAAAATCTCATAATTTAAAGCCAAGTTCAACTTTATTTCATGTTAATAATCAAGGATTATCTAATAAACTGGATAATTTAAATATTTTCATTAACCACCACAAATTTGATGTAGTTTGTGTAACTGAACATTGGTTTGAGAACCACGATCTTGAATGTATTACAATTCCAAATTACAGACTTGTATCACACTTCTCTAGAAAATAGCATATTCATGGAGGTTCATTCATAAGGGTAAAAACCGATATTACTGTAATAGAGGAGATTACACCCATAAATCAATTTGCTATAGAATGCCACTATGAAGTTTCTAGCTATAAGTTTATAATAGATAAAAGAGATGTAGTAGTCATATGTATTTACAGACCAGGTACAGGTGACATTGACATATTTGAACAGAGATTAACGTCTACTTTAACCTATGCAATTAGTAAGTATAAAAACATAGTTTTAACCGGTGATTTCAACATTCATTATGACAAGCAAAATGATAGTAATACAAAGTTGCTTATGGATATTATACACTCATTTCATTTAAATATAACATGCTTGTGACGAAGTCACTAAATTTTGCTCTCAATTAATTTAAAAATTTATATTTCAATTAATTCCCGCCTGAGGACGTGTATTTGTGTTTCCCAGGAATTACCGTTTTTCAACAATTGCGAGTACCATCGTAGGTTAAAATATTCCTATATTTGCCGAAATCCGAATGGGCATTTTGTAGAGTCGATTTCGTACCAATTATCTACTTTTATTTGTCAAGGTACTAGTAGGACACTTTTTTTATTTTTAAATTATAAACAGTCGGCTGTAGTAGTGGTATCCACCACTCAGGTTTACCGAAAAGCATAAAATCAATCACATCTGGGAATTACATCTCTTGATTGCCGACCACCGTAAGCCTCTTGATTGCCGACAGCCGAAAACTATTCGCCCTTCTACAGTGCCTAGTAAAATACTCCGTGAGTGCCGTGATTTCGAAAGATTATTGAATAACCCCGTTTATTTTCTAAGGTAGGATACCGCATATTATTTTTTATTGACTTTTATATAATTAGTTGGGACACCCGTGCGACAAGTGAAAAATTTTGATTCATGTTCAGGATATTTCATTTCATCCCTCAGTGGGAAACCGTTGGCATTTTTTTATTTGAGGCTGGACATAGGCTAGACTCTGAGTGCTCTCATTGTTAACGACTATATCCAATCTCTCTTAGAAACCGCCCTGTTAACATTGAAGTGAGAGTTTCAACCCGTTCCCAAATTTTTTTTTTATTCTATTTTATTTTTCGGAGGTTCGATCCGTTTCCGGGTTAGAGTGATCTCTCTCCTGACGACGTTATCTAATTTCCCAAAAAGACGTCTAAATTAATTTTCGCGTCTCACTTCATGTAAATTTCTTTTCTTTTTTATTTATTCAGCTGTATTTGAATCATTCCGTTCCCCGTCCACAACTAATTATTGAACGAAGCCGACGATTTCTGTAAAATCAATTCACACCGTCTTGATCGACTTTTGGGCAAATCTCAAAATAATTTTTACGTTAACCATCGCATTCTTGTTCCAAACACCGCGCTGAAAATTATAATTCTCGTTCAACTTAATTGCCAGAGCGTCGATCGGTCCGAACTAAGATACAGGGACGTTCCGAAAACTTTGATTTCATTTATTTGCTTACATTTGATTGCCGTCATATTTAAATAATTTATTTTTAAAAAAAATTCCGAATACAAGGAGCCGTTAATATTTAATTAGTTTTCATTTGAAATAATTTATTTTTAATAAATTTTTTCCGTATACAGGGGGTTTCATAATTCCCGGACCGCTTGGCCTCCTGTGCTAGCAAACCGTAATTATTTCTCAATATTTAAATAGTTTTCAATTGTAATAATTTATTTTTCATAAATTTTTCGGATACAGGGATCCGTTAATATTTAAATAGTTTTCAATTGTAGTAATTTATTTTTCATAAATTTTCCGGATACAGGGATCCATCAATATTTGAATAGTTTTCAATTGTAATAATTTATTTTTCATAAATTTTCCGAATACAGGGATCCATCAATATTTAAATAGTTTTCAATTGTAATAAGTTATTTTTCATAAATTTTCCGGATACAGGGAGCCATTAATATTTAATTAGTTTTCAAGTGTAATAATTTATTTTTAATAAATTTTCCGAACACAGGTAGCCGTTCATATTTAATTACCGTTGTATTTTTTTGTAAATATATATTTTATTACCTATTCCTGTGTTTCTCTTACTGCTGGTGTTTTATTTTTATTTATTCTATAGTGACTACCTAGCAGTGACCGCCTGGAATTATTTTTACCTCCACTGAGTTTACCTTGAGTACACTCTGGTGTACCAGAGGGTCGCAGAGCAAACTGGCGCCTGAGCAACCCCTATTCGGGAATCACCTTCATAGCGCCACACAGACTCGCTGATTCACTGTAGGTGAACCAGAAGCCTGTCACATGCTTTAAACCAACTCGTATATTTACAAATATTAAGGGAGTTACTTCTACTAGCACAATTGATTATATGATTACTAATTTTCCTCTCGCAACCTACGACTGTTGTGTAATTGATCCATATTTAGGGGATCACAAGGGACATATCCTCTCAGTAAAACTAGAATCAAGATGTAATGACAAGCGAGTAATTCCGGATATAAAAATCAGGTTATTTTAGCATTAGTAATCTAAATAATGTATCATCATATTTAGCAAATTTCGAGTGGGATGCCCTATATTTGCTACAAGATGTGAATGAGGCATGGACTGTCTTTACAAAAACCCTTCAATGGGCTCTAGATGCAAGCTGTCCTTTGAAGAGTTTAAAAAACTTTACTCAAAGGGCATTTGCGAATAATTGGTACACTAGGGACAGCTCACTTACACAATGAAATAATAGATATGCATCAACTTACTCGATTATCAAATAGTGCACAACTAAAAATTGAATTTGCAAACCTGAAAAAACACTTTAAATCAGAAGTTAAAAAATCTGAAAGACACTTTTTAAATGATCGAGTGAGCAGAGCCGACAATACAATAAAAGACGTGGAAAATTATAAATGAAAATCGAAACAGAAAAAACTTAACCTACCACTAGTATCTCCTTGCACTATAATAACATACAGATCACAGACACAAAAGAATTAACTTATTTGCTTCTCACTTTTCTGCCATATGTACCAATATGGTTAATGATCATTTTCAAAACAATATATCACAGAGTTGTACAGTAGGTCAACATATTGTAAACTCTATTTTTGTTAATTACATTCCTATGGAAGACATAAAAATAGTGTTTGATAAAATTGAAAAGAAAAATTGTGCTGGAATCGATGCATTATCACCCAAAATACTGAAATCAATTAAAATTATAATTCTGCAACCACTTACCTATTTAATAAACATCTTTAGAAAAAGGATTTTTCCAGAGGCATTTAAACTGGCAGTTGTAATTCCTCTCCATAAAAAAGGAGAAACATCAAACATAGATAACTATCGACAAATTTCATTGTTATCAGAATTATCAAAAATACTTGAGAGATGTGTATATAATATTATAACTGATTTTAATGATAAGTATAAAATACAATTAGCCAACATGGGTTTAGAAAAAAAAATCTATCGAAACTGCAACTAATGAATTATTAATCCATGTATATAATGAATTGGACAAAGGTAAATATGTCATTTCAATTATGTTCGATCTGTCAAAGGCATTTGATACCCTAAAGAAAGAATTCATTTTAAATAAGAGCTAACTACATTGGGAATTCGTGGGAAACTGCTAGACTGGATAGAGTCCTACTTAGGAAACCGTAAATTGTTAGTTAAAATAAACTCTGAAATTTCAAAAATGTACCCTGTATCTCTCAGGGTTCTGTTTTGGGACCGTTAATATTCTTGCTTTTTGTAAATGACTTGCCCACACATATACATGGAGGTAAGACCATAATTTTTGCAGATGATACTACAATAACGGTCACAGGCAGGACTCCGGAGGAGCTTCAAGAGAATGCATTGTCTGTATTCAGTCAAATGAAACAATGGTGCCACAAAAACTCTTTAATTCTTAATGAAGACAAAACGGTATGTTTAACCTACCATATAAAGAATTTTTTACCAGAGTCAATGAGTAAAGAACTTCCGTTTAAATTTGAAACGCATGCCAAACTATTGGGTACATGGTTGGACTCGAAACATGAGCTTTGAACATCACATCGACTATGTATGTGGACAACTGAATAAAACTTTTTATGCAATATTTCAGATGATAGACTATTTGGATGAAAAAGGCTTGCTTGATCTTTATTATGCATTCGCTTATTCTCATTTATATTATAATGTTTTGTCATGGGGAAAAGCCACAGAGAGTAATAGAATGTTTGTGTCCCAAAAAAGAATACTTCGTTTAATATTTAATCCAAAAAATATCGAAAGTTGCAAAAACATTTTTAAAACGAAATCAATTTTAACATTTCCATGTATATATATTTTCAAATGTACTACGTTTACAAGGAAGTACCTCTCTGAATTTATTAAACAATCTCAAATTCATTCTCATCACACAAGGAATGACAATTTAAGACTCCCTAGCTACCAGACAACGACTTTCAGAAGGTCTCCTTTATATAACTGTATTACTATCCATAATGCTTTGCCTGAAGAACTAAAATCTGAAGCAACATACGAATCTTGAAAAAAAAAACGTTAAAATATACCTACAAAAAAGCTCTTTACTCCATTACGGAATTTATCAATAAAACTGTGATACAGGTCTGCAAAAATAAATTATTATTATTATTGTTAAATTTTACATTTATATATTTATTGTACTACTTGCCTTGTGTATCTTTTTATGTAATGAAGGTTAATAAATTATTCTATTCTATTCATTTACAATTGTCAGAGGAAATATGGTTCCAGCAAGATGGCGCCCCACCTCATTTCTATGTTAGGGTTAGGGAATACCTCAACACAATATTTTCGCAGAGATGGATAGGCCGAAGAGGATATATTGAGTGACTGGCAAGGTCACCAGATTTAACTCCATTGTTTTCTTTGGGGTCACTTAAAGTCTATAATTTATAAGGATCTACCTCAATCTCTGGAAGAACTGGAAGATCAAATCAGAGCGGCCACTCAAGAAATAATTCCTGAATCTATTCAAAACAGTTTAAGATCATTTGTTGATAGATTAGGATATTGCCAGGCAGCCAAGGGCTTTCAGTTTGAACATCTACTTTAAATAAATGTGTCGTATTAAAGTATAATCTAATTTAATTGTTATTATAAGACCGTAAGTCTGGGACCCACTTAATATACCATTGATGAATTCATACAGATCATACGAACTCGAAAAAAATATAAATACAGGGTGATCCATTTAAAATATTGCCCGATGACGTCATATCTTGAAAACCATTACGCATGCGGGAAATCTGTAAACGTCAATAAATAGTACATAAAATGAATAAAAACTTTTATCTAAGTCAAATTATCGTACAAGTTATAGTTAAGCCATAAATCAAGTGTTCCGTCCATATATAATGACCCTGTATATGTATGACTGACACTCTGTTTAGATGTTACCACATTTAAACTGGTCATATTACTATTATTGTACAGACCTATTTAATTATAGTTTAATCTTTCAAATTGTTTATCTTAAATAAAGTTGAGTTTATCTTTTGTTATTTAATTAATATTACTTTTTTAATAATTTTTAGGTCATATCAACATTTGGAAAAGCGTAAAGAAGAATTGACTGAAGCTTTTAATAAAGCAAATAATAAGGATATTCAGCTTATAGAAACAATGACACAAACGAACACAACTCGTAAGAAAACTAAAGAGCTTATACTCGAAGAAAAGAAGAGATTGGAAAATTTAAATGAGGTTCCTGAAAAGACTAAAGCGGTAAGTGTCTACAATAAAACTGTTTTAATTTGAACTTTGGCTTTATTTTTTAGTTTTTATTTATTCCTTTTATTCAGTTCTTTTTTGGTTTTATTTTTTTGCGGTTTTTTTATGTTTTAATTTGTTTATTTTCTCCTCTTTATTTACAAAAAATGTATAACTATTTATATAATTTTGCATTTTTTTAATAACTTGTAGGGCATTGAAGAATGTGAACAGAAAATAGAGGAAGTATCGGCTAATAAGGAGAAATTTGAAGAAGAAAAAACAAAATTACTATCTACTCTAAGAACAGAAACAAAAAGTTTACAAGAAAAAAAAGAAGTTATAGAAAATAAACTAGTAGGATTGAAAAAAAACCGCTGATGAAACAAAATCAGTTGTAAGTGATTTACTGTAATAAGCATTACTTATATTTGATTTCTCTAATCTGTTTTGTCAAAATGTTATCGTTGTTCTCTTAGTACTATGTAAATTCAAATTTTGTATAATTTTGGGATTGTATAGTCGTTTATTTTCTAATGTTTTATATATTAACACTTCTACTATCATCCAGATCTTTGAAGATTCTCTAAAGTCGACTTAAATGGACCTTGACTTAAATGAAGTAGATAAGGTTGTCGAGTTTTAGTTGCCCTTTATTTTTGTATTCAATTTTAACAACTTGTTGTTTTTAGTTTGTACTAGCTGAATCTGAGCTAAAAATTTATGTTAGTAATGAAGAAAATGAAAAGAATAAGCTTGATAACTTAAACCAAGAGTATGAATCGGTTCATTCCAAAATTGAAGAAAGGACTAAACAAATATCCATTTTAAAAAAGAAAATACCTGCAACAGAGAAATCTTTAAATGATGCTTTACAAGAATTAAATGGTGTGAAAGAGGAAGAAGGACAGGTTATTAATGAAATTAGAAGGAATAGAATGCAGTTAGAGGAAAAGAGAAGTAGCATGCAGGCCTCTCGATCTAAAGGAAAGGTTTTGGATGGACTCATGGCACAAAAGAGGGATGGCAACTGCCCAGGGCTTTATGGGCGATTGGTGAGTTTAAAAAAATATCAAACCATTGTAGGTAAACTGCCTTTTTTGCTATTTTATCATTTAGGAGTTAATAACTGCCAGTAGCCTTCAAGTACTGGGGTTTTAAAAATTAACTATTTCAGGGTGATTTGGGTGCTATAGAACAAACATATGATGTTGCTATATCTACTGCTTGTGGACCCTTGGACAATATTGTGGTCGATACTGTAAAAACTGCTCAGTGGTGTATCGAATTCTTAAAGAGATACGACCTTGGCAGAGCCACATTTATTGCTCTAGACAAACAAGAACATCTAAGGAATCGTGCTAACAGTAAAATTAAAACGTAAGTTTTGTATTTAATGGTTTTGCAATTTATGGTCATTTTGCTTCAAAAAGTTGTAAATATAAAATTAAAGCTTGTTGAGGCATGCTTTCAAAAAATGTCTATACATTGGTTTGCTTTACTTTTTCTTTAACGCCTTTTAAACTGCTGTCTCCCAACTTACCTTCAACTCAAAAAAATCAGGAATAAAAGCTTTTTAATTCTTTTGATTATTATACCCTCAACTTACCTCCAAAAGTAATAAAAAAATCAGGAAGGTCGAGAATAAGGTGTAGAATGAACATTTTATGATTATTTCTGATTGCATCTTGTGGCGTAACAGGCAAATTAAAAATCAGAAAATGTCCTCAACCTTTCGTGCCAATTAGAAAGTCAGGTCTTTAACCATATAAAATATAGAATGAATAATAATATATTGTGTATAGTGACCAAGCTATCGCTAAAAGAGTAACCGATTCTTAGTTAAGGTATTGCAAAAAGCACTACTAAAGGAATTATCTCAACACTCTTGTACCTACTGGATATATACAGGGTGGGGACTTTAACTGGCGCAAATTCGCTACAGGTTCAGGTTGAAAGATGCGGATAAAACGCAAAAACACGTCAATTGAGATTTTTTGTAAGCTTTTCGGTCATACCAAAAAAAAATTTTTTTTTCATCCCCTTTAGAGGGTGAAACTCACCCCGACCTAATTTTTTTCAATAGGATGGTACCACTTGCGGCACCTTGTTGGAAAGGTCTTTCCTGTTGGAAAGGTCTTTCCAAAAGAAAATTGATTGTGCCATTTTTTTTTTTCATTTTAACTGTTATGCTATTTTCTAGCGTGAAAAAAGAAGAATCGGGGACGAAATTCAACAAAAATTAGTTGTGCATAAACTGGGCTCTAAAATTATAGTCAGTGTTTTTTATCTTAAAAATTTACACAAAAGTCAACCATCTATATGGTTAGAAATACCCAAATTAATCAAAGAAACATGAAAATGGAAGGTAATTCATGGAAAATTAAGTTTTGTTTTACATTTAAATAAAAAATAATACATATTCTACTCGCTAGGTGGATTTATTTCTTTTTATTTTAACAACTGTTCAAAATGAGCACCATTTACTTCTTGACAGAGAGCAACATGGTGGTAAAATTCAGCTTGAAGCCTTCTTAATGTTTCTGGTGTAATTTGCCGAATTTCTTCTCTAATTCTATCCTTTAGCTCTTCAATATTATTGGGTCTTGTGGCGTATACCTTACATTTTAAGAGCCCCATAAATAAAAATCTAATGGAGTAAGATCAGGAGATCTAGCTGGCCATTCAATAAATCCCCTTCTTCCAATCCACCTGTTCTGGAAAAAGTCATTTAAGAACTGTCGTACATTGAGAGCGTAATGGGGTGGAGCCCCATCTTGTTGGAAGAAAATTCTTTGATTAATGGTTCCATCTTCTGTCGGAAACGTTTGGATAAGTTCAGGTACCAACGTATTTTGTAAAAATTCCAAATATCTGTCGCCGGTTAAATTTTGGTCAAAGAATATGAGTCCAATAATTCTATCTCCAATTATTCCAGCCCATACGTTGATTTTTCCTTGATATTGACTATGCTGCTCAACTATCCAATGTGGATTTGTTTCTGCATAGTACCTACAATTTTGACGATTTACCTAAAAATGAAGACACAAAAGTTAAAGATCTTTGATCACTAACGTTCCTAAAGCGTACAGATTTAACAATATTGTTGCGAGTTATCGATAGGTGCCTAATCAAAAAGACTCACCTCTCCAATTAAGGTAAAAGTTGATTCATCGGAAAACAATATCCAATCCGGTAAAATATTTCCATCATAGATTTGTTTCATTATGGTTTCACAAAACTCCACCCTCCGATCGGGACCATCTTCCATAAACTCATGCACAGGCTTCATTTTGAAGGGTCTTTTACCAGCAGATTTCAAGATAGCCAATACAGTTTTATGGCACAAATCAAATTCCCTACTTACTCGTCTGGCAGAACTGATTGGATTTTCCTCAAATGTTAGAAGAACATTTCGTCTACTCGTTGTGGCCTTTCTCGAGGAATTTGCTGTAAATGCCCGTGCAACCTGAAATGAGCCTCAATTTTGCCTACTGTAGCCCGGTGTAACGGAGGCAATTCTGGATGTCGCGCTTGAAATAATGCCACAACTTCTGCTTGGGTATGCATCCGATCCCCGAACCCAATCATCATCAAAATTTCTATTTTCTAAGTTTCCGTTAAATACGCCGGCGTTTTTAACGAAAATAAAGAATACTAATTCGACAGACAATAAATTGATTCATTGCAGCCTTACAATTGATAAAGATGCGATATTTTTTTTGTACCTATACTTACCTTCATTTTTTCAGAGTCCATTTTTTACAATAAAAAGTCCAAATTGAGATAAAGCGGTTCATACACATTTCTAAAAACAAATTGAGAAAATACTGACCATTTAAAACTGTACCTTAGAATGGTTTTGTAAGCATCAGAAGAATTTTTTTGATATGAAATAATTTTTTCACGCTAGAAAATTACCATTGGGTAAAAATGAAAAAAAAAAAAGAAATGGCACAATCCATTTTCTTTTGGAAAGATCTTTCCAACAAGGTGCCACAAGTGGTATCATCCCATTTAAAAAAATGAATTCGGGGTGAATTTTACCCTGTAAAGGGGGTAAAATTTTTGGTATGACCGGAAAGCATACAAAAAAACTCAATCGACGTGTTTTTGCGTTTTATCCGCATTTTTCAACTTGAAGCTGTAGCGAATTTGCGCCAGTTAAAGTCCCCACCCTGTATATAATTTAATAGAAAAATTGATTTTAATCTCCTTCATGTTTATAATAATATAATAAAATTGTTCATTTGCAACCATATATGTAATGTTGTCATTACTAACGTTATTAAAGGTTGGGAAGTGTCACATTACACACCTCTACTTCACGACCTCATTTTATCTATTCTAGATGAATATTTTTTATATTAAAAAAAAAAAAATATAACATTTTTTTGACTTGATTATTCTGAGAAAACCGCGCGCTTGGTAATTTGTCGTTAAATGTAATATTTTAGATATGTTCAGAACAAAACTGAGATTTGTTAACTTTGATCGAAATATGATGGTTGTAAATAAAATAGTATACAAACCTCGGTAGGAAGTTTCATTCCTGTCTCGAGATCGAGTATCATAATGTTAGTAATATAATAATTAAAAAAAAAACTAAACAATAATTTGATGTTTGAACAGTGTAACACACTTAAGTCCCTTAGGGATGCGCATGGGTGGATGAGTATTTATTTTTCATTTTAATGACCGTGCATCTTAAGTAATTAAATAATATAAAAAACACATAGAAAGATAATTATAACCATAATAAATCCTTATTTTTCTCTATATATGGTATCTTATTTTATATGTTTTAGTCCAGAAAATGTGGATCGTTTATATGATCTCATAAAGGTAGAAGACGAAGATGTTAAAACCGCATTTTACTATGCTCTCAGAGATACTTTAGTAGCCTGTGACTTGGAACAAGCCTCAAGAATTGCTTATGGTGCACAAAGATTTAGAGTTGTAACTCTTAAAGGAGATTTAATAGAAACTACAGGTGTGTATTTCCATCATATTCAAATGTAAATAAAGCATTTTAAGAAAAACCTTGTGTCTATTTTTATTTTCAAATAAGTAATTGAATTATCTTTATGATATGCCTAATATATTGCAAGATTTTATATGATTCGATCTAGTCTTCAACACTGCTTTTATACTGGGCAATGTCATTTTTGTTTCTTCTAATAGAATTATGGGTAACTACAGGTATTTCTAATTTTGTTTTAAGGAACCATGAGCGGTGGAGGTAAGCAGGTAAGCAGAGGCAGAATGGGTCAGTCTGTTAGAGTCTCAAATGTAAATCCTAGAGAACTTCAAAACTTAGAAGAGGATATTGAACAAATGGAGCAAAGAGTTAGAGAATTGAGACAAAAACAAACCAATCTGGAAAGTCAAATTAATGCTTTACAACCTGAACTGAGGCAGATGAAATTTGACTTGGAGAAATTTTCAATGGAGTTAAAAGTAAGGTTAAATGATGATATAAGTGTGTAAAATAGAATAACGCTCTATATACACACTGAATTAATATATTCAAATAAACCATTCTGTCATTGATTTTGACTTAAACATTTTTATTTTTTTTAGGCTCATATGTTAATATGTTCAAATCATAAAAGATATGTTTATATTCCTTTTTCTAATCACTTGTGATATCCCACAAACGATTGTATATTTTTAGTGTCAATTACCTAATATGTATTTTCGTATATCACTCTCACTAAACAAAATACATTCGCCGCAAGCTTATAAATATAAATTTACTTGCAAGTTTGTTAAATATTTATTGATAGTTTTCTGCAAGTTTGAATTTGTCGCACTCTAAACTTGAAAAAATAATGCCATGCTTTATGCAAACTTACAAAATTAACCTATTTTTAACATTCACTTAAAAACCTATTTAAAGTTTCAATTTAAATATTATCTAAGAACTTTCATTAATAAATTATCTGAAAATGTACAAAATCACACTTTGCTTACAGTGTTAAATTTAAACTTCTATCAAACCTACCATTATAAATATGCTTTAAACTCTCAGGATTTCATTGTCTGTATATCAGGTGTTCCATTATATTTTGAAACTTTCTTTCTAAAGCCCTGTAACTTTGAACTAGTTGAAATAAACGCGGTTTTCACCAGTCTTCTTTTAATTTTTATAAGTTTTTTCTGTGTACTCGTCGTTTTTTTGCTCACATCCGGCTTAACCGGAGATAGGGCAACTGTTATTTCAAATTATTTTTCTTCAATGGCCCACTGTTTCGCCTTTAATAAAGTGTCATACTTTCATAATTATTCTTACAAGGGGTGATGGGGGGGGGGGCAAAGATTTAAAGGGGCGGTTTATGATTTTTTAGAACCACTATTACTATTATTAAAAAAACTTATAGCGGGAAGGTTGTCAAATATGGAATTAACAGACCGTTGGCCGGAATTTTTTAATTTAATTTAAATTATTTAAAATTAATTCTGATGCCTTGGTAGGATTCCCCACTCGACCATTCACTGTTGGGTTCTAATTAACAGTGCTGTTCCTAAAGTGGCGCTGGCCCCCTGGCCTCCACCTGGCTAGGCCACTGGTTTTTTCATTGTTCAATAAAGTGGTATTTCACTCCTTGTTACATCGAGTTTCATATGTACATCTTAAATAATAACAACTGAAGTAACATGTAAAGGACAGTATTTATTTTAAAAGCAAATAAAATCATCACATAATTATGCTGCAATGAATGGCATTTTCGGAAAATGGAAATAATAGACTTTCAAATTAAGAAAAATATACAACATATTCTATTTGAAACAACATAGTTGTCCTAGCTATTCCCGAAATTATGGAATGTCATATTCGGTTAGATTGGAAGTAACCCAAAAAATAATGAATAAAATAAATACAAAAATTAGAAGAAGAGTGATGAAAACTGCATTTCATTATCGCAACTAGTTCAAAAGTTACATAGGTTTAAAAAGTTTTAAAATATAACAGGACACCCGATATTTCAGGAATTCCTAGAAATTATTTAATCATAAAAAACAAAAATATTTTAATACTATTATTAAAGTTCCTAGAATATTTCATTAATAATTTATATACAAATTAAACACCTTTTTTAACAGAAAAAAACATACATATACAGTGTGTTCCATAAACTTGGATCCATATAGGATTTTTTTTAAAAGCTTAAAAGAGTCCATATTAAAGTTGGCTATCTATCTATTAGTTATCTTTCAAATTCGGTAATTTTTTTGAAAAACCGTTCATATTTTTTTTTTAATTCGACTTTGACAAAACTAATGTCACTAGCCAACTTTGATGTAGGTAATTTTAAGTTTTTAAATAGGCAGAGGTAATTGCCGCACGACGTTTTTTTCAATCGTAATATTACAGAGATCTTTGATTTTGCTTACTAAGTATAGATGGCGATATCATTTTCGCTCGTTGAATATCTACACATGCTCAACCCGCTGTTATTGTGTTCGATCAAATTTGGTATTGCCGCAGTTTATAGCTAAAGAATCAATTAGCTCACTCGGACCAATTAGATGTTCCAAAATAACATCCACTCCGAGGATACAAATTCAGGATGTGCAGAAGACTGCAGTTTGAATATAGGCGGTTGTCATTTTGTATTGGTTATAGTAAGAGAGCCCACTGCAGATTTCGACCGTCATCTGTTAACGAAATGAAATATGCATGTAACAACATTGTACTTTACCAAATTGCACCTGTGCCAATCCCTATCCTGAGCAAAGTGGTTAAAAAAAAATATTTTATACTCAAAAAATCACATAAGACATGACAGGCGACAATTGTGTTTTCCCTGAAAATTACAATCCTAATTCATTGTGAACCTAGCTTTTAAACCTGAATTATTAATATTTTTTTTTCTACACCCACATGGATATTAGCTTATCTACGCATATATTTCATATCCATTCTAGGCAGAGAGAACACTGCAAAAAAGTTCATATTTTGGGCACCGAACTACTATTATTTTTAAAATTTTAAATAAGTGACAATCCTGTCAAACTAATTGTCTGTATATTTTTTAAAATAATTGAAATTAAATATACATTAAAATGAGTTATTTTTGTGTAGAATGGATAAATAATCATATATAATTGCATTTTTATTTGAACCAAATTTTGAAGAAAAAAATTCATATTTTTAATGATTTTTACCTACTAATCGTGGATAGATGTTTTTGTGCGATGTTAAGAGGAAGAAAATGTTTCCCTTTAACGATATATATCAAAATATATGTATTTGAATATGTTATTTTCTGGAAAACTTTAAGAGCAAACAAAATTAGCGCTGTCATGCCTTATGTGATTTTTTTTAAAATAAAATATTTTTTTAACCACTTTGCTCAGGATTGGGTATGGCACAGATGCCATTTGGTAAAGTACAATGTTTTTACATGCTTTTGGGGTATATTTAATTTCGTTATCGGATTTTTTTTTTTTTTGTTAAAGTATTGTTACTAGTCATTACTGACTAACCTACAATTTTAATCTAAAAATCTTACAAACTAATTACTTATCTAAGAAGTCCCCATTGGGCTGTCTTAATTGTTTCTATAGGAAAGCATCACAAGTTGGCGTGAAGATTTATTACACTGTTTTACACTAGCACTAACATTAACGTTCACTGCACTAGCTCAAATGGCTTCTTCCTTTTGAGCCTCCTGTTGAGTGTAGAGTTGTCCAGTAATTGCAGCGCTTCTTCGTTGACGTGGGAGTGGAGTCGACCCTCATGTTTCGCAGCAAACCTCTTTATTTCTTCTTCGATTGTTGGCATCTTCAGGTCTCTATGAAGATAATCGTTTCGGTAGAACCAAGGTGCATCAACAATACATCTTAGGACTTTATTTTGGAAAACTTGAATCATGTTGATATTACTCTTGCTGGCACATCCCCATAGCTGTATGCCATAAATCCAGATTGGTTTTAGGATTTGTTTATAAATCAGCAGTTTGTTGTGCACTGTCAATTTGGATTTTCTTCCTAGGAACCAATACATTTTTTTGAATTTTAGTTCAAGTTCTTTACGCTTTTTTTTATGTGCTCTTTCCATTTAAGTTTTACATCTAGGTTCATCTCTAGGTATTTGGCCGTTATCAGATGACGGTAAAAATTTGAAGTGGGCTGTTGGGCTATTATGATTTGATTCTGTATGCGCCACGGATACAAATCTGAGTTGCGCAATGTATAAACTGGAACATTGAGATCAAAAGTGCATAGTGAGCGAATTGATTCTTTAGCTATAAACTGTGGTATTGCCATTAGACTCCAATAGAGACTGGAGTCGAGAATTTCTATTTTTTTAGTGAAGACTCCTAATAAGGACGAAACCGTTCCAAGAATGACTTTCTCCTCAAAGGTAGAGTTTTGAAAATATTCTGTATCTCTGATTTTTTCTGTTGACGTAAATCAATACCTGGTGAGGTATTAGCCAAAGGAGTAGTTGTTATCAAAAGAGAAATAGCCGCACATATATTGTTGACTATGGCTTTGAGATTTGTTTGATGTATTTTACATCTCGGTCACATTTGAGTTATAAATTATTTCCTTTTTTAAATATGAATTAGTTTCTAAGAAGGTCAATCGCAATATTAAAAACATTTTATTTCAATATAATATGTATTTTATACATATGCCGGAAGGTCTTCATTGGCTTTTAAATGGTTTTCAAGTTCTGATGTTGTCATAGTGCGGCTCAATTAAAATGAAAAAAATAGTAAAAGTGTAGGTTTTTCTACATTCTTCGGTCTTCTCCAGTTGTTCGATCATTAAGTATTTCTTTATTTATTTTCATTTTCTCCAATAAGATGGGTTAGTATTTTACTAAAGCTTAACTTGAATTCTCTTGAGCATCGTAGAACAGAATTAGCACTATGCTTTCTTCATAAGTTACTAAATGGTTCAATTTGTTGTCCAGACTTATTAAGGCTGGTGAATTTCAACATAAACAGAAGAACACGCGTATCCGAATTATTTAGCATTCCATTACACTCTACAGATTATAATCAGAATGAAACTATTCCTAAAATACTTAGGGTTGCTAATAATCACAATGATAACTTGGAAATATTCAACTCATCTTTACCGTCTTTTAAGCGCCAGATTAGAAACATACATTTTTAACTATTTTTTCTCTTTCTTTTTACTATTATTATACAGTGAGCATCATAAGTCTTACCCCCCTAGCTAACTCGTTACTGGGGTCTTGTTAGGAAAATCGCCGAGACAGGTCGATTTTTGATTTTTACAATGTACATTTTTGCATGATTAGTTTACCCTTAATTTCATCCCTTACTGGAGGGTAGCAACCCTTTCGAAAAATTTAAATGGCATGGGGTGGTGAGTGATAGCTCATTTGAAAGGGGGTTTTATTCTCTATTCAACCGTGCAAAAAAATTTGAAATTTGCTTCATTACGTGTTGATTTATTAATGTTTAAAAATAACAAAACCTCACAAAATAGGAAAGCAACTAGACTAACAGTGACCTTCTAATGGCAAAAAGTCTTACTTCACGTCTAAACTAAAACCGAAATCATGCAGGGCCAAATTTTAATTCTAAGGATGAGTGCGCTACGTTAATTTCCGTTATTCTGAAACAACAATTAGTCGAGAATTAATGAAGCAAATTTCAAATGTTTTTACACGGTTGAATAGAGAATAAAACCCTCTTTCAAATGAGCTATCACTCACCACCCCATGCCATTTAAATTTTTCGAAAGGGTTGCTCCCCTCCAGTAAGGGATGAAATTAAGGGTAAACCATTTATACAAAAATGTACATTGTAGAAATCAAAAATCGACGTGTCTCGGCGATTTTCCTAACAAGACTCCAATAACGAGTTAGATAGGGAGGGTAAGACTTATGGTGCTCACTGTATATTTAATGATTATAATGTCTGTTTGATATTAATATTCTCCTTTTCTTATACATATTGTATCTTTTTTTTTGTAAAAGGTATATCCGTAAATAAATAAATAAATCTATCGTTTCCATACAAATATCACGTCGCATTGCATCTATCATCAGTGTCAGCTGTCAAAGTTACTACACCATTCCGTAAACTTATAATAAATTTTCCATAAATTTAAGAAATAAGTTTTAGCAGCAACTATTTGTAAGTTTCTATATTTAGTGGGCTGAGTTTATTTCTATGATAAGACCTTCTTCAGTTTCCTATTCTGTATGACATATCTGTGGAAAACTATTTAAGCCTATTTGATGGTAGTCTCCTAAATATCTGATTTATTCCAAAGTATTTTGTGATTGCATACTTAAAATACTGTTTCACTTTGCAAACTTAAAAAAATATATTGATTTTTTTAAGGGTTTGCATCAACAGCAACCAGTTTTGGAAAAACAACTTAAAGAGCAAAAACAGAAATCAAATGTAACAAAAGCAGACCCCGTTCAAGTAAAGAAACTAACTAAAATTGTGGAAGAAAAGAAGCAGGTGTATGATAAAGCTGCTGAGCAAGCTTTGGTTTTGCAAAGACAAGTTGATCAAATTACAGAAGAAATTAAGGATAAAACGACAGGAAAGATGCGTATTATTGATAAGAAAATCAAAGACGCTGCTAATACCATTGATAAGTGTAAGGGAGAAATTACAAGATTACGAGTATCTATTACTACAGCGGAGAGGTAATTTTGTAATTTAATATTATTAAAGAAAAAACATTCTATAGTTGTTTTTTTTATATAAAATTTCAATATTTTCATTGATATTGTTAAAATAAATAATAAAATTTATATTTCATGTTTTACCTTTAGAAATTCTAAAAAATCTGAAAAAAAGATTCAGATTATGGAACAAGATGTGACTGGAATGGAAAATCGGCTAAGACAAATGAGAGATGAAAGAGCTGAAATTGAAGAAGATGCAGCTAAATTGTTAAAATGTATTGAAGAAATAACAGAACAACTGGCTGAGGGTGAAGAAACTTATGGAGGTATGTTTTAATTCTGACCTTGAGGTTTATCTGTGCTACAAATGCTCCGTTACATTTACACATTTTAAAATACACCTACCTAAAAATACATGAGAAAGTTATTTTTATTACCATTTAAATAAGCCTGGCAATAAAGCAATAAAACGTAAAGGCACAATAAGTTCAAGTAAATACTCTATGCTTTTATCTGTTTTGGTTCTCCTCTTATAAAGTGATGTGCCCAATTTTACAACTGTGCTATTTTAAATAACAAATCTTTTTGAGGTACTAAATTAATGATAACAATGTAGATATGTTTCAAGAAATAAAGCAGCAACTTCATATACAATTGCTTAGAATAGGGTTCGCCACACGACGATTTCCCTATGCACGAAAATTTTAAAGGTTTTGTTGTTTTGGTGATTTGTTTGATGATAATAATAGCTAAATAAAGAGTAATCTTTTGTTACGTTTGAATGTCCCAGAGATAACAGGAGATGTAACTACAAAATATCGTGATGTACAGAATAAGACATTCTAAGGGACACAGCTGGCTGTAGTATCCGATGTTGTCTTGAGCATTTCATTATTTTCGTTTCGTTTACAAACTTATTGACATATCTTAAAAAAGCAAAAATAATTCAACTTAAACCCAAAAAAATTTGAATCGTCAGATGTAATTTCACTAAATTAGATGAGATAATTTTCAATAAATTTCAAAATCTAGTTATTGTTAAGTTGAATATTGTTAAGAGTGAGATTATAGGTCCTTTTGACTGACCCTAAAGTCCACTCTTAGCGGTAACCACGGGTTATATAGAGGGGCCCAATTTGTATTTAAATTGGCCTCTAGTAAACACACGGCTAGGAGGTTAAGTTCAGACGGGATGGGCCTAAGGAACCCTAACTTCCTGACGATGATTTAGAGGACAGGGAAAGGGTTTGCCCTACAGGGACAATTCCATTCGACAGTCTCTCTCTCTCTCTCTCTTTCTCTCTCTCTCTCTATCTCTCTCTCTTTCTCTCTCTCTCTATCTCTCTCTCTTTCTCTCTCTCTCTCTCTCTCTCTCTCTCTGTATCTCTCTCTATATCTCTGTCTCTGTCTCTCTCTCACACACAGACACACACACAGACACACACACACACAGACACACACACACACTTAAACTTACAGGACTTTTTCTGAATCATGATACGGCTTTAAAGAAGTTTATTGTTTTAAAACTTTTAAATTAATGGAATCTACAAAAATAACATAATAAGAAACATGTTACAAACGTTTGAATGATGTTCTTTTTAGATATAAAGAAGGAGGTTGCAGACTTGATTAAAAAAGAGAATACATTAAAGTCTGAAAAAGTAGATGTTGATCAAAAATTTAAAACGGTCAATGGTAAAGTGAGCGATTGTAAAGGCTCCATACATCAACTACATCTTAAGGTAAAATTAATATTATAGTACATAGGTGGTTCCATAAATCTAAAAGAAAAATTTGTTGTAGATTAAACATTTGAAATTACAAGCTATACCAAATGAATCTATTACTGAACTTAAAACATATTCTCATGAAGAGCTGGACGAAGAAAGTGAAAGAGAAGTTCAAAAAGAGTTAGAAAATGCTGAAAATCATTTAAAAGTAGCTAAACCAAATTTAAACGCGATTGAGGTAATATAATATAACAAACAATTTTTTAAAATAATCTCTTAAATTTTCTGGAAAAATTTAATTTCTTTTGTTTTATAAATTTAGGAATATCGTAAAAAGCAATCACAATACATTGAACGTTCCAAAGAGTTGGAAGAAATTAACCAAAGAAGAACAACAATGCGCAAATTGTATGATGATTTAAAAGTTAAGAGGAGAGAAGAGTTCATGACTGGTTATAATATTATAAAAATGAAATTAAAAGAAATGTACCAAATGATAACTTTGGGTGGAGATGCAGACTTTGAAATGGTGGATAACTATGATCCATTTTCAGAAGGAATACAATTCAAGTAAGTATAACACACAAGAATAATATACTGAAATATTCTTATCCCTCGATTATGTTTTTGTTAAGTGTAACTTCCATTTAGCATTTTTTATTTTTTTTTAGTGTAAGGCCACCCAAAAAGTCTTGGAAAAAAATAGCGAATTTATCTGGCGGTGAAAAAACATTATCATCTCTTGCACTAGTTTTTGCTTTGCACTATTATAAACCGTCACCACTTTATGTCATGGATGAAATTGATGCAGCTTTAGACTTCAAAAATGTTTCCATTGTTGGAAATTATATTAAGGTATTTATTTTAATTTCAATTCCCATGCCATGCAAAGATTTTCAAGCTCAGTTAATAAAAATGTAGTAGAATAAATATCTATATGAAAGTGAATAAATCTGTTAAGTTAATACATTTTTAGGAAAGAACGAAAAACGCACAATTCATCATTATATCTCTCAGATCTAACATGTTTGAACTTTGCGATAATCTAATAGGAATCTACAAGACGTATAATTGTACACAATCGATAACTATTGATCCCAGGGTCCATGACCAAAAAGAAGTGAATGAATCGACACAAAAAGGACATAATGAAGAACGAAGCACTGCTAGTGCGAGTTTTACTCTATTACAACCACATAATGAAAGCAATGCATATACAGATGTTAATGATGAGAATGATGAGAATGATGGGTTAGTACAAAATATAGAAAGCAGCAGCAATGCAGATGTTAATAATGAAAGAACCTTACAAAATAGTGAACATGGTAAAGATACACCTATGCAAGATGTCACCAGTTGCAGTGATGAAACAGAAAAAAATACTCAAAGTTCATCTGTTAGTTTCACAAATCAAACGAATGAAGATCAGATTTCTTCATCTCCAATGGAGGTGAATTAATGAAAAAAATAACTTCTTTTTTAAATTTAATAATACTAAAAAAAAAAAAGGAAAATGCTTAGTTTACAGGAATGTCTAGTATACTTTGTTTTACAGGTAAAGTTCAAGTTAACTACTTTTAGAGACACAAGGTATATTTATGCCGTTTTGCAATTTTTTAGCTGACACATGTCATTTTAGAGACTGCAATAATTCAATAAAAAAATAAAAGGAGGTAATATTTTTTTATTTTTATTAACAATATATTCAATTTTATAACAAAAGTGTTTTAACTATTATATAAATAAAATAAATAATTAATTTTCCAATACTGCCGATCATAGAGAGTAGTTTAATTTTTTTAATATAATCACAAATACCTCTTTTTTCAAATAATTATTTTTACTACAGTGAACTTACAAATTTAAATTATTATTCCATTATGTGGACACACCACTGAAATCTGAGAAGTCTGCCCTAAACCGGAAAGCCTGGTCATTTTAATCTAAATTCAACTTATCAAAAATTGATTTGTGATCTTAACAAATCAATATTCATTCATAATAATAATATTTATTAACTCATTTTTCATATTGGTACATTATTTTTACTCGTATCGTATTTATGCACACTTTGATAACTGGATTGATTTTTCTCTTTCTTTTTGATTTGCAGTTACTTTGTATTAACAGCAGTTCCGAAAAAGAAATTTATGTAAGAGCATTCTGGTCACATAAAGTTATACTTTACAAAAGTTAGTAAAAACAAAAAGAACAATAATTATAAAACAAAAAAAAAAGGATTTTCTTAAATTTTTATGAATATGTACAGCTTTTAAATTCATTTTGTTAAAGCTTTGATTTTAGTATTCCTAACAATAACTAATCATTTAGGGCATGGCATGCCTAATCGTCTACTTTGACAATTTTACTTTAACGTCACTCAAAGCGGCTAATAGTGTGCTTTTGATATTAATAGTTCTCGAAGTCCCCATAAAATCAAAAAAATCTCAATTGACGAATATCTGAATTAAAACTTATATTAAGATCTTTACTTTTAAGTTCATTTAATTATTCTTACTTAGAGGAAACAGAATATTAATAGGAAATGAATATGAACAAATATTCATTTAGTACCTGTATAAAGTATTCCAGGAACGTGTTACAACGGTAACAAAAACTGCACTGCTCTTCTCTTTCTGGTTTTAGTCCTATATTTAAGTAAATCTTAATAATTTCCTAGGCCAGAAGACGACTTTCAGACGTGTGCTATCTGGGTACTGGAGCAGCTGACGGACGTTTTCGTCATCCACTAGGTGGCATCTGCTTTGACTTAAGATTAGTCAGCATACAATAATTAGGTACAAAAAGACACCTGTTTCCCGGACTTTAATATGCTGAATTTAAATAGAGAATATTTAGAGTTCAGGAAAATGTTGGGTAAAAGGAGATGGATTTTTTTTATATATTTTATCGACATGCAACTGATTATTCCATTTATCTTATTGCATCAACATATTTTTGTGGTGTGAATTTACATTTTCCTACAAAATTAAGATTATATGATATAAACTCACTCATTTCTGGTGAACCACTGGATAAATTAAAACTATATGAAGGAAGAATTTTGTTAATTTTTGAACTTAACAATACCCTTTATCTGGCAACCTAGATATTGAACTCCTTAATCAATTCTTTATATTACACCAGAGGCATCTGCGTTACTTTGTCAAATTTTTTTTTTTTATAAAAATAGTGTAATTATATTATTAGTCATTTCGTTTTATAATTAAATTACAATAATTTGAATTATGTATAACTCAAGATCCAGAAAATAGAATAGTGGTCAGATATGAGTTTTTAGTGTTACAAAGTACAATATTTGGAAAAAATAAGAGAAAATTTGAGTTTACTTTTAAAATATATTTTGTTCAGAATTTTTTAAACTAAACCTTTTCCTTTTTTTATAGTAATGATTTTAATATTAACCTTTTTTAAGTTCGTAAATTGTAATTACATGTTTTTTAAACTAGTTATAAGGCTATTTGTACAAAATTTTACTATATTTTTATTTCATAGACAAATATTTTTAATATGATTTTATTTATTTAATAAAATTATGAAATCGAATTATAAAGTTTTTATTTATGTTTATTTACAGAATGTGATATACCTACAACAATCATTACTAATAATCTCCATACAATTTACCCCTTAATCCTAAAAAGTGAAGCTTGCGTGAGTACAGACATAACTGAAGCCGCAGTGAATAGAAAGGCAGAACTCCTTTGTTCTGGTTTTTCGAGGTGTTCACTAGATTCTATACAAAAGAAACAAAACAGTTTAGTTTAATTATAAAAATGTTTAGTTTCAGTTAATTTCCACCTGTTAACGTTCTCAAGAACCCCCGTATTTTTATTTCTTAAAAATTCCCGTATTTGAACATCTGCTAGAGCCCCTTTAGTTCAAAATATATAATTACTGAAATTCGAATCCAGCTTTAAACTTTTAAATTCGGGTAAATTATCAGTTATTTTCGCAAGTGTCAGGACATTTTTTTTTTTTTTTTTAGTGCTCCAATTTGTAAATATTGGCTACTCGGAAACCGAACTGGTCCGAGCGTAAAGTATAAAACAGCTCTCCGAGAATTTTAACACGTAACCTTTCTATAAAGATTTATTTTGATGTTCTGCTGATGGACCGCCGCCAGTCAAATATTAGCAAGAAATTATTTGCAATAGTGTGGGTCTTTAATTATAATTTGATACCATCATAAATAAAGAAATAGTTAATTGAAGGATGTATGTTGTATATCATTATATCTGTAAAATGAATGACATGTCCTGTGTATAAAAAAGCAAAAATCGGAGTAATAATAATATTTGATTCCTAGCAATGAGGTGAGGAGCTCCATCTTTTGTCTTTATAGAACTGCCATGCAATAAAAGTATATCAAGGGATAACGGGTGTTTGACGCAAGTGATACAATGCAAGTATGAAAAAGATATGTAGTGCATGTAAGTTACTACAAATAGTCCTAGAAAAATTAGTCTTTACTAGTCCCGAATTCTGAACTTTATTAAGAGAGGCCAGTCAAATGTTATTGCAGTGTGGTTTCAAAGACGGAACTAAATAATAATTTCCCACCTTTATTCGGAATACCTTTTTGTGAGTTCTGAAGTTACGTAAGCGAAGCAAGTTGAGTGTTATCGCAGTCTTACTTAGCCGACTTAATTTATCAACATCCAACAGATCTCTGCCAAGTCCGACTCAGCTTGAACGAAAATCGAAGTTCGGTTATATAACGTGAAATAAGAGATGGGTAGTGTAACAAATTTGTGAATGTACTTAACAGCTTTTGCTACTGTCCATCTCTAAATTCCCAGTGTCCCACTGGAACCACCTGGAACTCATCCCAAGTTCGACTCAGCTGAGATCTGTTTATAACTACGGGCCTAAGTGTGTTATTAATTTAGCTTTTAGTAGCAGGTCCCCGCAAGGATTATCGCCGTCCGCGTGCCGGAAATATTTTGGCGCCCTTTGAATATATGTAGTACTTATATAATATTTTAAAGAATAACAACTTTAAGCTGTTACATATGTTTTTTAAATTTCCTGATTTGCTGTAATATTCTTGTAGTCGTTTAACATTTGAGCGAATTGCGAAACCACATTTTATTTTAATTTTGTAATGAAACGATAGATATTTCAAAAACCAATATTTCATTCTTACAAACGAAAAAACAAATAAAACATTCAATTATCCAAAAATTAAATAGGTTTTTTTTCTGGATTTGGCTGCTTCAAATTCTTTTATAATATTGTCAAAATCAATTTTATCGAGGATCTCTTGCTCTATAGCTAAGATTGCCAAACCCGATAATCTTTCTTGTGACATTGGTAGACCTCAAATTATTTTTAATTTTGAGAAAGATCTCTCACCAGAAGCTACAGATACAGGTAAAGTAAGCAGGATTCTTAACGAAATGGTAATATTTGGTAGAGATGAAGTTAGATTGTTTTCAAATATACAGGGTGTTAGTAAATAAGTGCGACAAACTTCAGGGGGTGATTCAGCATAAAAAAATAATGATAGTTTGCTATATAAACGTCTGAAAATGCTTCGTTTTCCGAATACAGGGTGTTAAAGTTTTTCTTAAAAACTGACGATTTGTTTATTGCTCTGAAATGAAATTTGGTGGATTTTAAGAGGTAGTTATTCCGCATTTTTTGACATGCAATTAAGAATTTTATGTTCATCATTGGCGTGCATACGAGTAATGATCTCAATTCAAAGAAAAAAATGGTACGCCCATGAGATATTTCAAATTAAAAATCATTTTTGAATTCCTCATTAAATTTGTCACAAAAAATATCTCTGGCCTTTTTTTCGTGTGGGGCGCCGTTTTTATGCAAAAAAATAAAATATCTTAATGCGTATTTTTCATTTCTTTAATACATTATCAAGAACTATCTAATACAATAACATTAAACTAGAACAATAACAGAAAATAACACTAATAAAATTTTAAATAGGCGCAAAGCTACAACAAATGCTGAAAATGACCTCCCTCAGACGTAAGACAAGATTCAACTCTTCGCCGCATTGATTGTTGTCTTCGCGCAAATTTTCCTAGTGTATTTCTTATTGTCTCACAGCGGGCTATAATTCGGTTCCTCAGGTCTCGGACATTTTCGACGGGAGTGGAATATACTAGTGACTTAAGAAAACCCCAAATGCAAAAATCCAGAGGATTTAAATCCGGCGATCGACCAGGCCAATGTTCCGTACCTCCCCTACCTATCCAACGATTTGCATATACTGCATCTAAGTGATTTCGTACATCAATGCTAAAATGGGCTGGTGCACCATCATGCATGAACCATAAGTGTTGTCTCAGCTGTAGAGGAATTTCTTCAAGAAGAACAGGTAACTCTTCCTGTAGGAAATTAAGGTAAATTATTTTTAAAAAGAAATTTATTTTAAACGCTGTTTTTGGATCTTGAGGTGTCTCATGCTTCTGTTCATAATCGAACAGTTTTGGTTTATACTTTCGTCTAACAGTATTTAATGGAGAAAAACCTTGCTCTATCTCAAGAGCGGCTGCTAGTTCTCCAGCTTGAGCAAGTTTTTCCTCGAAAACATTATCATCTGTATAATTTTTAAAATTATTAACTAGATTCTTTATATAGTTTTGGCACACTTTAATATCAGTCGTTACACTTTGCATCATTTTGCTTACAATGCCAATTTGGAATAAAATATACCAAATTATTACACTGCAAATAAATTTAAAAGATTGGATACTTAATAGCATAGAACTTGCTTTATGCTTAGCTTCTATGTTAAAAGTATCATTTTCTGCTATTTCTAGAAGGCTATCACAAATTTGAATTAAATGAAAGTTTAGCGGCCTTATAGCATCAATCCTACTTGACCATCTAGTATCACTTAGGGGTTTTAGATTTAACTTAAGGACATGCTTTTTTATATCTCACCTTTTTGTGGATGAAGAGAAAAATACATAAAGTTCTTGTATAATATTGAAAAAGTTAACTGTTTCATTTGAAACTTTAGCAGCATCATTTATACTGCTAAATTTAACCTGTGTGCAGCACATGGGACAAAAAATGCCCTGGGATTAGCATCGAGTATGCGTTTTTGTAAACCAGTATGTTTTCCGCGCATATTCGCCCCATTATCATACCCTTGACCTCTCATGTCTTTAATATCTAAATTCAAATTTTTCAAGTCCAACAACAAAATCAAATAGCCCTTCCCCTGTCGAGTCGAATATTGGGTTGAACGCTCTTGTATTTGAGCCTTTTTAGAAATGTCATTTAGAACGACATAACGCAAAACGAGGCTTATTTGCTCTGTATGGCTTGTATCCGGTGTACAGTCTCAAATTATTGAATAATATTTGGAACTGCGAACCATATTCAAAATATTATTTTTTACTTTACAACACATTAATTCAATAATTTCGTTTTGTATCTTTTTTTAAAGAATTTGTTTGTGAGTTTTGCACTCGACTAATGTGCTCTCTCATCACAGGTTCAAAAGAGGAAATCATCTCGACAGCTTTGAAAAAGTTTCCATTATCAAATTCAAAAAATATTTTAGAAGAACCTTGGAACGCTAGACATTGGATAAAAATTTGTCAACTGCAACAATTCTTTCCAGAACGTCAGGCCAATATTTTTTTCAGTTTATAAAACCCGTAAGTGATGATCGTTTACGGTTGTGGATAATTTTAATATTTTTTTTAAATTCATCCATGTATTCATGTGAACATATTATGTACAATTGATGTTTCATGTCTTTTTATGGCTAAGGACACATGTTGCCAATCAGAAAAACTATTGAAAGTCTTACTGCAAATTTTAGAACAAAAACAAAATATCGATTTTTTCGAAACTGAGTAAATGAACCAAATTCTATTTGCTTCTTCTCAATTTTCTAGTTTTCTGACAAAGTACTTACTTGAAAATTTTCTTTTGTCTTTGTCTTTATTAGCTGGAAATTGATAATTGTTTCCTATCAAAGGAGGACCACGGTCAACCAATATTCTGACTTCGTTGTTGGTATAAACTAGGGTCCTCTGATATAAGAATACCAGTATTCTCAGTTACCGCTTCAGTAGAAACTTCATCGTCAGAAGTGTCTCTCATAGCCGTCTTTATTGGGATGGTCGACTCTATAGATAATATATTTTCGATAAGTGATGATGATGTTGATGGTTCACATGTTGCAGAAGATGGTGGTGCCGCCGCTTCAGAAACTGTATTTTCACCTTCCTCTATCGTTTAAAGTGTTGGAAACTTGACTTTTCCGCAAGAAATGTTTCATACTGCCAGCCATCTTCTCCCTTTCTTGGACTCTAACTTTTTTGCTCTCGAAATTTTGCACCAGAAGGTCGTTTTCTCTTCTGTGGCTCCTAGAAATTAAGTAATACTAGATCAAAAATTGGTAAAGGCATTTAATATTGAGGTTAATTCAGGTTTTAGTGCACAAACTTTAACAGAAAAATAAACATATTTTTTAGACCTATAATTTGCCACACACGAAAAAAATCACTTTTCCCGATTTTCAGATGTGAAAAGTATTGAATTACTTTTGTAGTATTTTCCACAATATCTTATTAATAGCCAAAGTAAGTCAAAGGTATATTCCCGTTTCGCCTGACAAAAATTTGGTACGCTTTGGTCTGAGTACATGTTAATTAAACGGAAAAAAATAGTTGCGATTCTCCTGGCCTGCTCAGATAATAAATATGTATTTGCTGTAAAGAAATCTATTACTAACAAATGAATAATAATAAGAAATGAACATAAAATTAAATTAAAATGTTATAGTTATTTAATTTGATATAAACAAAAAATATAGAGCACCCAGTATAGTAAAAAGTTAGTAAAATAAAAACTAAACTTTTTTTCAAATTGACGAAGCGTAAAGCGAATAAACTATTTGAATTTAGAAAGTTTTTTATGTGTCCCAATAACCGGCCAGGACAAAAAAATATATTTAAAAACTAAAATTCCTCCAGTAATAATTTCAACTATACATTACTTTATAAAAGAACTTAGTATATCTATGAAAAAAGATTTAAAGGAAAAATTATCAAGATGGTTTAGAAAATTTAAAAATAATTGATTTAAAAACACTGGTACAAAACGCTTAATGTCAAAAATGCAGTTTTTTTTTGTTTCAAATCAAATCATCCTTATAAATAAAATTTTGCATGTATTTTGAAAATGGCCCTTATGATAAAAAAAAGCACGCACCATCCAACTTATGGTCAGGCGAAACGATACCACAATTTGATCTTGTCAGGCGAATCTGGAAATTTTAATTGGTCAGGCGAAATGAGAACAGGCGAATCGAGCATAAATCAAGTAAAATACAGGTATTATGTGGGTACGTACTTACCATTTCATAAAATTTAATTACAACACAATTAACACAAAATATAAAGCACTCCGTCGAATATTTATAACTATAACTTTGCGTCTTGGTTTTTGACCTTCACGTAGCCGAATAAAATATTAACTATTTGGATTACGTCGCCTCCTGCAGTTTTATCTAAACTCGTGGTTCGTAGATGAGTCAAGTCTGGACAGGAAAAATCAAGATCTAATATGAAACTTATTCGAGTCTGGACAGGAAAAACGTAGATCGTAGAGTATTCAAGTCTGGACAGAAAAAATCGACAAGATCTAATTTGAAACTTACTCGTCGTTCGTACAGTACTCGAGTCTGGACAGGAAAAATCGACAAGTTTACACTTTATACGGGTATTCATGGTATTGCATGTTGCAAACAGAATTAACAATATTTGATTTTAAAAATAGATATGTTTCTATCACAATAGGAATAGGTCATTATATCAACGAACATAAACTTCGATAACATTATTGATTATATTATCATGAATTGAGATAAAAACATTTTTCATTTCTTATAGTGCCTTGTTCATTGGAATCGTTAAAAAAATTAAAACATCGAATTGTATACAGACCTCCGGTTTGGCGCCCCTTTAGAGGTGCGCCCGCGTGCGGTGCACGCGCAGTTGCGGGGGCCCTGTTTAGTTGGCACTGAAGGTGGGGCCGTATTACTGATTTTTATTTTTTTGCGAAAAGTTCTCGTACAACCACTATTTCTATGCGTACAACACATTCATGTATTACATTTTTTTAATTCTTTTAGTTTTTTTATTTATGTATTATTCTCTCTAAGCTTCCCGTTTGTAAATATATATTCTGGAACAGGGGTGGCTTGTGACCAAAATTTTGGGGGTTCACAGTAACAGAATATAGATCCCGGTACAGATATAGGTAAAAAACTGTCAGTGTTTTAGAAAGGTATATTATAAACTTTCTAAAACACAACGTTTATTTCATACATCTGTATTGATACTTATATTCTGTCACTGTGAACCCCCCCACGAGCCGGAAATTAATTATACTCAATAATAATTATACTGTTAATTGATTTAGAGCTTCTCGCTGTTTATTAGGAATGCATTTACCGATTTATGTTTAAATGTTTATTCTTATCTTAACATTTTCACTAGATTCAGTTATAATATGTTAATTGATTTAGCTTCCCACTATTTATTAGGAATTTCCGCATTTACCGATTTATATTTAATTTATTTTTATATAAACGTTTTCACTATATAATTTATACTGTTACAGCTCTTCTCCGCTTATAAAGAGCACCCGTCTTACTGGTTCATATTTATTTTCTAATTTTTATTATTATTGTTGTGGGTAATTGATTGTAAATAAAGACTAATATTATTTGGGTTTAGTGTTGCTCCACCGTGGTTGCCGTTTGAAATATATTTTTTTATATAAACTTCCTGTTTTTCTTTTAACTATACCCCTTTTTATCTAACTCTTCCAGAATCACCTTTAGGGTAAAAGTTACTAGGTTATTACACCGTTTATGTTGAGTAAGGTGGACATTACCGTTGTTAAGGTACTACCCCATTTGTAAGTGACCGCCTGGAATTTACTTACTTCACAAGGGCTACTTTGAGTCCACTTTAGGTTTACTCGAAGGTCGCAGTTATCAAAACTAGCGCCCGAACAACCCTTGTTCTAGATAACAGCCTGGCGTCACCCACGACTTCCACGCAAGTGAGACAAGAAGACGTGTGACATTTTTTTTTCTCTTTATATATAATTTTTTTTGCGAAGCAACCCTCCATGGCTCCTGTCCACACAGGCTAGGTAAATTAACAAAAAACATGTTTAATCGTATGTAAAAAAAGATGACTCTAGGCACTATTTGTTTCGGGAGCTGTTTTGACTAACACTATTTTAATTAACGCTATTTCGTCAAATGCTATTTCGATACGCGCTATTTTCAGTAGGCGCTATTTCGTTACAAGCCATTTTAATAAGGTGCTCAACAATAGCGCTATTTCTTGACGGAGCCAAATTTTCACACTAATGTCATGGGGTACAAGAACGAGTAATTGCTTTATCAGGTGGGGCAAATACTATAATATAAAATCATAATGTTTCAGTTCCCAGTATTAAAGAAACAATCTTTTTTGGCACTTATCAGATACATTGGTCCTGATGAGCGCTGCAGAGTCAGTAGTCATATTGAATTCAAAGTTTATGCATGATCATTTTTGACTTACTTAATTTTATCGATCAGCACATAATATGACACTATTCCTAATAAATTTAATTTAAAATAATCCACACATTCCTATAATTCAAGTTTAATATCTCTCTTTATTTTGAAAACGGTGCTAAATAAACAAAATCTGTTGTTGATAAAGATATTTATTTAAGTTCACCTGTATTTGAATATGCTTACCTAACGGTGAAATGATTACACATAACACTGTCATTTTGTGGTAGGGTTTTTATCTAAAGGAAGTCTAGCTTCCTCGTTCACGGTTTACACGCCCAATAATAAATTTACATAGTGATAATTCAAAAGTGTTACCACTTGAAATGAAATAGTAGTTGAAAAATCCACTTATTTTGTATAAATATTAATGAACAAGACATGGATGAAATAGAAAAACCCACGAGTGTAATATTATTTAGACAGTCTTCAGTAGAAACAAGATTAACCCCTGCGCGTTTATCTGAAGAATTTGATGATGAAAATGATGATGTTATACCTAAAATTGTTGGTGTCAAGAAAAAATCACTCGAACCTGCTGAAGAAGACAAAATTACTAAAAGTGGTATGTCCAGTAAACCCCTGGTTGCACCGAAACCAAAAACTATTTTGCAAGCAACAATAATGAGAAAAAATACAGACGATACCAAAATAATTGGTGATAACGCTAAAATAGATAACTTTCGTGATAATCAATCGCAGACATATCAAACTAAAGATCAATTTAAAAACGAATTGAATAAAAAATTTCAAAAAAGTCCTATAAGTCAAAATATTGATAAATTAAGTGATATATTAAGTAACACTCAAACGGCAGATAACAAAAACGAAGATAATAATACGATTATAGAAAATGAAAAACAAGATCATTTTAAGGACGAATTGAGTAAAAAATTGGGGGTTGGATTGAGAAAAAAATCTGGTCCAGCTCCACCTCCTCGGGTCAGCAGTGTCTTAAACGGCAAACAAGAATCTGTGGAAGGAAACATCAATAGTGCCGATAAAACTAATACTATGGATAAAGGAAATACCAGTAGAACAGAACAATTTGAAATTAAATCAGATGATAAATGGGAATCTACTGAATATTCAGTTGGTACTTTGAAAGGTAAGTTTCATTCTATTTTTCTCTAGACTTGATGTTTGATGTTTGGAGGTTTAGATCTTGAACCTTCAAATTATTATCTTAGGCGTAACTCGTTTCCAAGACGTTGAGAACAAAATTTGTTGTTGCTATTGTACCTACGAGTAATTCAAATGTTTTCAAATCTGGAATTCATTTATGAATAAAAGTACCTTTAAAACGATGTGTCGTTCGACCCTCTTTCATCCAGAATTTTTCAAAAATGGCATCCAACTATCATATTGAATATTTCGGCTGTCATTTTTTTTTTTTTTTTTCATTTTACTCTAATATAAACACCCTAAATATACGCGGCAAAGGATTTCACTATTCAAAAGTTAGGATTTTGTGGTGCAATATGGGAATGCAAGTAAAATAAACTTTCGGTACAAATTTTATAAATATCTTTAATTATGTAGTGTAGTACCTACTTAGAATATTATCAAGCATCAGATTGCTATATTTTATAGATTTTATAATCTCGTTTTGACAAATTCTTTTTGTTCCACCTACATCCAAGTTTCGTCCAAATATACATATGAGGAGTACTCTTATTTAAATTGGGTATAATTTCTAAAAAATTGTATTCTTTTGTGAACGACACCAGCTCTCTCACATAGAGCCTCCCGATTGTCTTCTTTTTTGAATTTAAACGCTATCTGCCTCAAAACTATCCAAAGACTTGTTCTGCAAATTTCAAATATATGTTTTCTGTATACATTGTCACGGATTTAAAATTTGTGACCTTAGGGAAAATCTAGTTTTTGATTGTCAGCGAAATTCATATTTATATTTTAGGATCTTTTGTTCACATTTTACATTATTTGCATTTTTTGAAGCTGACTTTACTTTTGTTTCACAAATTCAGAGTGTACTTCATCTCCTTATAGAGCTTGGATATTTACTAAAAATTTCATGTTGATAACGCTTTTCGGTTTTGGTTTTGTATATTGTATATTATAGAGCAGCCGGGAATTGATCTCCAATATTTGTTTTCACCTTTGGGGTTCAGGGATCGTCTTAAAAAATTTTCTGAAATTTTGGTATTGTACTCAATATAGTAACCAAAAATGTCAATAGGCTTAACCCAATCCTATGATTAGTTTTCGATATACAGGATGTTAAAGTTGAAAATTGCCTAGTTTTTCAAAATTTTTATTTTCAAACTTACGAGCTAGATTGAATTTATGTTGTATACACACGATTACTACATGTTTTAGTAATACATTATTGTACACGTACAATTAAAAATATTTTGAGTTACAGGGTGATTCACAAATGTATGACGGTATAGTTTTTACAAAATCTCACTAATTTACTATGCAGGGATGCATATTTTTATGTTTTTTATATTTTTAGAAGTTCGCCACAAGAGTACAAGAGGGAGCACCTTTTTTTCACTCCTAGAAGTTTTTGTTTTAACTAAAAAGGAGAAGTTTTTGCTTAAAGAACTGTTTTTTTTTTTTTTAGAAATGTGATTGAAAAGGCTTAATTTTTTTTGTAAAATTGTCGCGGGGCCCGACCTGGAAAATCGTCCCGGGACCCGACTGGATCTCGGCGGCCCTGGTCATTAAATAAATGCAAGGTCGACTTTTTAATAATTTCAAAACATAATTTTTTGATGGTTGGCTGGATGGCTCACCATACATAAAAATATATTAACTCAATCAAATAATTTAACTGTGGCGCAACTGTAGTAATTGAGTGTTTACAAAAATATATTGTGATTTATTTGTGAAGCACTATGTAACATTTTAAGTAGTACTTTTTGAAAATATGCTTCCCTGACGTCGCAGTAGAATTAGTGAGATTTTGCAAAAAACGACCGTCATACATTTGTGAACCACCCTGTAATTAAACATATTTTTAATTGTACTTGTGTAATAGTATATTACAAAAACATGTATTAAACGTATGTATGCAACAGAAATTATTCAATCTAGCTCGTAAGTTGGAAAATAAATATTTCGAAAAATTGTGCAATTTCCAACTTTTTTCTCAGTATATCGTATAAATACGATAATTATCGTATGTCTTGCAGCACTGCTCTCACCATTCACATGATTCCTTATAATTTTAGTCGAGTGACATGCGTAGCAAGGCTAAATAGTGAGAAAGTACTCACCCTTCTATTGCCATAGTTACAGAATACAGCTCCAGAATCTCGGATTGTTCTAACCTCAAACGCTTGCGCACCCGATGAGAATTTGTTAGGTGACAAATCAGACAGGCTCCCCGAACAATACTTCCATGCCGTCAGTGGCGTGTAGCAACAGGGGGGGTCGTATCCTCCCCATGGAGGGCGTTCGCGTCACTGTTTCCACCATCGTATTGGTTCCACTATTAACTGTTTGTTTTTATTAACTTTTTTATCGTTTTAAAAAATGTTTATTTTGTTTTATTTCAACAATCTTATCTAAAATATTTCACTTTGTTGATAAAACCCCCCTCGAACCTCCTAGTTTTCAGAAACCCCTCTAATGAAAAATGTCTAGCTACGCCACTGCATGCCGCTGTTCGCCCGGTTTCACCAATGAACTGGAGTGGGGTAGAAAGCTAATGTGCATATTTTATCAATTGAACAAGATGCGACTCTATGGGCGCAGCCATTTTTATTTCTCATCTCACTCGGGAGTATTTATAATAACCATTTTCTGTTTCACATTGTTATTGTTCAATCCACAGGCTGGTGGATCAGACAATAACAAAGTGAAATAGAAAATGGTCGTTATAAATACTCCCGAGTGAGATGAAAAATAACCTGTCTTCGCCCATAGAGTCGCATCTCAAGCCTATTGACAAGCATTCTACCCCACTCCAGTTCATTGGGTTTCACATACTGATTACGGTTTGCTCTTTGACGGTAAACATATGGCAAAGGAAAATTATTATATCTTAAAGTTCCGTTATCGTCAACATAGGTACGCTTTAATAAATTTGACATTTGCAGCCTTGAAAAAGAAGGAACCAGGCATGATGAACAATGACAAAAACAACACAGTAGGAGGGGCTTACAAGGAAGAAATGGCTACTCTACGACCGAAATCTCCTCGTCCAATTCCTTTAAAAGGTGAAAAAGAAGAAACAATTTGGGATAAAATTGGTACTTTAGGACGTAAGAAACGCATAAAGGAAGGTAAGCAATTGGAACTCAATATCAAAGATTTTAAGTGCCACATTGCCTTATATGGTTATGATAGTGTTGACATTTGGAAGTAAATAGAACAAGGTAATTTATTATTTATTTGATCAATTTTACTTAATTTTGTAGTTCAAGAAGTTCAGGCTGAAGGTAAATATGCAATTGATTCGCCTGGTTGCCCTACAGCTCCTATTATACCACCCGAAGACTATAACTTAGGTATGTAGTGCTTTAATTATATTTACTTGTAACCCCCTTTAAATATTCACATATTTCAGAGGATAATGAAGAAAGATGTATGATTGACCCTCGAGCTTATGAGGATCCAAAATTCTTGGATCTATTGGATGTTCTAAAAGAATGGATAAATGACGAACTTGCTTCTCAAAGAATTATTGTTCAGGATTTATCAGAAGATTTGTATGATGGCCAGGTGTTGCAAAAACTTCTTGAAAAATTAACTGGCGATAAGCTGGATGTTCCTGAAGTTACTCAGTCAGAAGAAGGACAGAAGCAGAAGTTAACTGTAGTTCTTGATCATTTTAATAAGGTAAATATTTAATATATAAAATAATTTGATTATACTTTAAGATCAATCTTTTCAAATGTTCAAAATTTTATCTTAAAACTTAAAAAAAAAACATTGCTGTTCAAACTAATGTAATTTAATGTGGGCAGCACTAAAGGATTGCACCACAGAATTGTGTAGTAAGTAACTTCAATGCCAATGAATGTTGACAAAGTAATTTATTTACATATGAAAATATTGTATATTTGTTTAGTAATCAAAAATTCTCAAGATCCAAATCACTATCCTTTTATAAAAATGCACAATATAATTTTTTGTCATGTACCTACTATGTAATTTTCTGTATTTTAGGTTTTAGGTATTCAAAGACAGTCTCATAATAAATGGAATGTGGAATCGATCCATTCAAAAAATATAGTTGCTATTACTCACCTTTTAGTAGCACTAGCAAGGCATTTTAGACCTCCAGTAAGACTTCCCGAACATGTTTCTGTGGAAGTGGTGGTTGTCCAAAAAGCCGAAGGGAAGTTGTGCCATAAAACTGTAAGAGAAAGCTTAACAAAAACATATGATGATGTTGGTATGAGGTGTGAAAGAGATGCTTTTGATACATTATTTGATCATGCTCCAGACAAGTTGCAAGTAGTTAAAAAGGTAAGTTATTAATAGATACAAAATAGATATTTTCAATGAGCTAGCATCGTTACATTCAGTAAATTAAAAACATCTAACCACAATCATTCTCTCCCTACCAATTTATACCTACTGTTTAAAATATAGTTCGTTCTAAATTTTTTAAAATTGCATTTTTATTCTTTTTGCCCTATAATGAACTAATTATCATCAGTGCCTAATAGACAAAAAAATGTATGTACCTACTTTGAAAATAGAAGAAAAAAGAACTTAAAGTTTATCATTTGCAGTGACAATCAAACAGTTGTGAGCTTGTTGTAAACTTTTGTATATAGTCATTCTAAATTGGATAAATTTTTGATGAAAGTAAACATTTTTTTTAGTCCTTGGTAACATTTGTCAACAAACACTTGAATAAGATGAACTTTGAAGTAACAGAAATTGAAAGCCAGTTTCATGATGGAGTATATTTGATTATGCTGATGGGTTTGTTGGAAGGATTTTTTGTGCCACATTATAGTTTTCATTTGACTCCACACGAATTTGATCAAAAGGTTCACAATGTCAATTTCGCCTTCGAATTAATGGAAGAAACAGGTCTACAGAAACCTAAAGCAAGACCAGAAGGTAAAATTTTTCTTTTTTGTATAAAATATATGAGAAAATTGTACTAAAAGTATTTCCAAGTATTAATTAAAATTAGGAGTAATTGTTAAATATTTTATATACACATTCAGATTTTATGAATTTATAAGATCTACATTTTATAGGTTCCATGTACCCTATCAGTCTGACTTACAAAGATTTTATGATTTAAAAAACATTTTTTTTTCAATTTCACTTTTTGTTAGATACTAATTTTGCCTTTTAAATGATTTAAAGCATTTGCCTTAAAAACTAGCTTTATGTCGGCTTCATTGAAGATGTTATGGTCTTTTCAGAAATATAAGATAATCTAGCTTTAATTTTAATTTTTTTTAGATGTGGTTAATATGGATCTCAAATCAACTCTTAGAGTCCTGTACAATCTCTTCCTAAGATACAGAACAATATTATAAAAAATTAACTAGTGCCTTTACACTGCCTTTTATTGAAATTATTTACACTTTCTATTAATGTATATAACAATATTTTTTACTAAATATTGAAATTAATATTTTGTTAGTGAGTTTTCAACCAAATTAATAATCTAAAATCAAAATGTTTTAAAATTAACATCAATTTTGATGTCACTAATTTATATTTACTAATTAAAGAAAAATAATAGTTTTAGTAGTTACTTAATTTTTTAATTGTATTTTTAGAGTAAATATGTATTTACTTGTACATTAATATTTATTATAAGGTATATAAAAATAAAAACTGTTAATAAAAACTATTTAGTATTGTAATAATTTATAATTTGATCCAATACCATAGTTGTATCACCTTGTTCTATGACATTAGGAAAATATAAGTCATGAATAGCTTGAAATCTATCCATGTAAGTGCCTGGAACTTCTTCAGTTGAAGCTATGATGAAAGTGGGTTTTTCATTTTTCTTGAAACACACAGAAGCACTATCTAGAATGGAGCAAGATACTATTCCTGATAAGAGTGGGTTGTATTTTTCTTTGCACAAGTTTGTATATGTCTCAAATCCAGCTAATATTATCACCCTTGGCATCTTATGCCATAAATGTATTGCATTTAAGTGATTAATTAAGGATTTGTAATCTTGAAGATACCTTAAAACAAAAGGTACAAATTACATTTATAGAAAGAGAACAGTAGATTTTTTTAGAAATAAAACCAAGTTCTTTGGTAATATCGGTCACTAAGTTTCTATTTAAAAGCACAACATATGTTAAAAAAACGGTAGTCTTGTGGTTTAGAGTCGTATTGATGTGCATATTCACTCTGAGCTGACGTTTATAATTTGAACTTTACACCTGACATGTTGTCATACGTCCATTTTTGTTTTGATTTATCTTTTAATTTTGAGGGCAAAGAAAATCTGTTTCTCAAAAAAAAAACATCTAAATAAAGGATATCTTTATTTCAAAAAAGTTTCCTTGCCCTTGAAAATGTATGTTTGACAGAATCTCTGATGATTCAAATGTAACCTAGATTTGCTAAATGTTTCCATCTTCTGGTGCAGTCATAATAATATTATGAATATTCCTACATGATATGAAACAAAAAGATATGGTATCATCAATAAATAATTTAAACTGTTGTGTCCATTGCATTTCTTTTTTTTTAATGTTATATATATTTTTTCGAAACATATGCTGTTTTTAAATAAAAACTAAATGATGGATATTACCAAAGAACTTTAATTTATTAGGCTATTGTATAGCTTTTATCGCGGGCTTTGAGCGCGGCGACCGAATCAAGAAATTCCGTAACACCCCCCACTCCGACCGGCACAGCGGTGCGGCGTTGAAAGCTGTGCATCGTCTAACGTCGTCTCAGTTCGCAGACTTCGGCAGGGTGTTTGTGTGCGTGCGACTAGATGTATGCCTGTAGACTAGCTGCTAACTGCTCATAACTGATTCTATCTCTTTTAGACAAAATTTCGGAAAAATTGAATTTAAAAATGAATAATGATCCACAAGAATCCACAACAAAATATGGGACCATCATTGACGCGGTATTTTCCAGATATTTAGAGGATATCAAGTCTCAAACTTATGTTTCTTATTTCAGTTACCATAAACCTATAGTTTCAATGTTAAAAATTCCTGAATAACCTACGTGTATTATAAGATAATAACAATATTAACTTCTCATTTATTTAATAAAAGAAAAAAAAATTGTTTTTTTATTGGTCACTATGTTCAAAAAGTGTAACTTGAATTAATATCAAAGAAAAAACTTAAATTATTATCAAAGAAAAAAAATACTGCATAAATAAATAAATAATTATAATTGCATAAGTTGATAAAAAAATGCTATGCAATAGCTTTACCGCGGCAGTCCCGAGTGCCACACTTATTTTTTTAAGATATACATTCATGTACCTATCCATTGTTATAAACCAATGAATTACTTACACAAAAGTTATTATTTCTAAAGTTTCTTTATCAGGAGATGTAATATTGTCAGGGATCTTGTCAAAAACTTTAGGTGATATAAACCACACATTTAATCCAAGTTCTGCAAAATAAATTGCTGTCTAAAAATGTATAAGATAATTTTTTTATTAAACTAACATGATAAACTTACTTTAAATAAAATATAATTGGAATCCTTGTTTATAAATAAAGTAGGATGTACGTTAGGGGGTATCATCATAGCGGTATCATTTATTTTTGTTTATAAAATTTTAAAATATAAATCATAACCTTCAAATTTTGACAAGACATTTTGCTTGTGTCATATCATAGTGTGTTCAAAAACGACTAGGAGTGCGTTCTGAATAACCACTTTTTTTCGGAAAGTTCTTATAAAAATCAAGAATCCAATTTTATCTATATATTTCCATTATTTTTATAAATATTTGATTTTGATAATTTAAATAAAAAATGTGGACAGAGTTAATATATTTAAAAAATGCATTTATAAATTTCCGCTTTTAACTGTCAAAGTTTCAAACCCGTTGACGATTTTTGAGCCATTTCCAAGTTGTAAACAAAAAGTGAAAGAACGAGAAAGAGAAACAAAATGCATCGCGCTGTGCACTTGTGCACTATTTAAATTCAGTGAACCCTATCGGAAAACCGTTTTCCGATTTTTAATATAAGAAAAGTCCTGATGAAAAGTACAATATGCATGTGAAATTCCTTAATTTAATATATTTCAGTTAAGTGTATACAGAAAAGGTGTAAATTTGATATGGTTTGAATAAAGGGATAACCTGTTTTAAGAGGTAAGTTTTTACCGAATGAATAGATTTTTCTTCTTAAATTAGCCTGTTTATTATCTAATTGGAATATTACTATAACATTAGCTGCTCCTTGATACTACTATTCTGTTAATTTTTTGAAAAATATCTGTATAAGAAGTAGCACGTTCACCTTATGACCTTCTTTGTTATAATTATCTTTTTTACGAGAATAATGAAAATTATTAAGTAGATAATATTGTATATTATCTCAGAAGTAAGAATTTATTTAAATATCTCACCTACATGCCTTTTCGGAAGTTGATGACCTAATTTTCAGTCACCTCAGGGCATTCCAATATCTAGATTACCTGTGTGTATTTGTATATTAGATAATGAAATATCGCAGTTAAAGAAAAAGAAAAATAAAACAATTTTTAAGTAATGACAAAAATAAAGAATGTACATGTTATGCTTACCCTTTTAGAGACCATCGAATTAATAAAAAATACTTTGTTAATGGTTTAAGACTTCATTTAAATAAAAAACAATTCGAAACTGTTTCATTTGCTTTATATTATGAAAAGTATTAAAGGCAAATTAATTGTGTTTAGCTGTATTAACTAATATTATGATGAATAGGTACTATAAATTTTAAAAACAACAAAATGTCAAAATATTTTGCTTTCTTTAATATTAATAATAAGAACTAATTACATTTATGTACTCTTTTGTAAGCTTATTTTATACATTGTCAATTAAATAAATAAAATAAGTTGCTACTTCTAATAACAGGGAGGAGTTTTTAATTTCTTATCAAAAATAAAAATAAGTTAATATTTGATGTACATGCATTGTACAGCGAGTACAATTGGGACTGCTTGTTTCAAATAATACACTATGAAATTCTTATGACGTCCTGTCCTTGCCATCAGTAGTTGCTAACAAAATATTGCAAATAAGGATTTATTTCTTTGAAGAAACTTTTGCATGGTATTAAATATAGATTCTCTCTTTGTATCAATTTCCAAATTTTTGGCAACTTGATAATTGTTTTTTCTTTTATAAATTGAACATAGTAGTGATGCCGCGAGACGAGACGTAGGACGAGAAAAAATTGTTCTCTCGTCCCGACGGGAAGGCAGTTCTTTAGCTTAAGAAAGCCATTATCTCGTGATAAAAACAATATTAAATTTTAGAAAATATATGCTGTAACGGCCCACCCCCTGGTACCCCATTTGATTGTTGTTTTTACATCTGAAATCTTTATTATTTACCTCTTAATTTTATTTTACTTTAAATTCTATACTTACTGTATTGGGCCTTTTTCCTCTAGTGGTAGAAGTGATGATCGTCTAGTTAATTGATAATTTATATACCCACATTGTGATAATGTTAATTTGGGTAGATCAGGATCGATACAAAGTTTGTTGTAAATTGATAAATAAAACCAGACAAATTTATATTTAAACTCTTTTATTTTTCATACTTTAAAAGTGATGCAATAATTAGCAAATTATATTAAAATTAATATGAACTATTTAAGTACTGAGATCTCACTTGAGTACAGTTCAAACGCAGACCATGTTCATTTGCTATCAAGATATATTTTATTTAGGTTGATGACCAATGGAGTTAACGAACAGCGTTAATTCGCCAGTTGGTTAACTACTGTGTTGATGTTTATATTTTTATTTAGCTTGTTGTACCCTCTTAGGTAATTATTTCGACGAGTATAGAGATGATGACCAACGGAAGTAACAAACAGCGTGAATTCGCCAGTTGGTTACCTTACTATGTTGATTTCACATATACTTTGTTTCAAACCTAGTAGAATGGGTGGCTTAGTATAAGGTGCCCCTCTTGAACTAACGAATAGTGTCCATTCACCAGTTAGTTAACTTACTGTTAAATTTGACCATCTGGGTTTGTAAAATTTATCCAAGCTAATACATCCCTGTATATTTTTAAAGTATTGATTTTTATAATTTCTACTGAACTGACTTAATACAACCATGTATATTTCTAAATATTGATTTTTATTATTGCTATTGAAATCTCAAATTCACCCATCGAAAAACAGATTATTGTAAATTATAATGAATTGCTGTATATTATTGTAACTCGTCACATGTAGCTAATGAGTATGATTACAAATTCGTAGATTTTCGATCCATTGAACATCATCTGGGATTATTTCAGTGGGATTCACTATTCTTAAATAAATCACTTGATGAAATGGTAAATATTTTTTACTATTTTGTGTATTCTGTCATTCATTTCTTGGTTCCATTGAAAAAATTATCCACTTGACGATGATTTTCCAGATGGTTTTCACCTGAATTGAAAAATCTCATAGTTCTAAAGAAAGAGGCACACCTTAGATTTAAATTTAGGGGATCTTCTAATGACTACATGGTATTCTCTAACTTGCGCTTTCAATGTAAACTTAAGTTTAAACAGGATTACAATGATTACATTAGACTTACTGAATCATCTGTTTGTAATGATATTAAAAATTTTTGGAATTTTGTTAATTCGAAAAGAAAAAGTAATATCCAACGAAATGTACTATAACAACACTAGATGCTCTATGGGTACAGATTTAGCTAATATGTTTCAGGATTATTTTAGCTCAGTCTGTACCAATCAACCATGCCATAATTATGATAAACCATATTCAACCCATTTAAATGTTGCAAATTTTCAGATATATATTTCAGAAATATTTGAACACCTGAGCTGTTTAGATATGAGTAAGGGATCCGGTCTGATGGTTTGCCACCTTCCTTATTGAAAACTTGTAGTTTTGTTATATCCCGTCCACTGCATATTATCTTTAATGTTTAACTTCATAATGGAATGTTTCACTTCACAATGGAATGTTTCACTTCACAATGGAATGTTTCCTAATTACTGGAAATCAAGTTTTACTGCACTGATTTACAAATCAAGTAACAAATCAAATATAACTAATTACAGGCCAATATGCATTCAAAGTGTGATTCCTAAAACTCTTTGATAGTATTATTACAAAGTATTTATTGAAACTGCTTGATCCTTTTATCATAGATCAGCAGTTTGGTTTCCATTCTAAAAAGCCAACTTAACCTGTTGTCATATGTTGATTATTTATCAAATGCCTTGGATTCTAATGCTATATACATTGATTTTTCAAAGGCATTCAACAGGGTTAACTACAATTTATTGATTCGAAAGCTAAGTAACATTGGCATTGGTGATAATCTTCTGAAATGGATCGAATGCTTTGTAACACACTGCAATCAAATTCTTCGTGTTTCTGGCTTCCTATCCTCTGGATTTACAGCTACATCTGATGTCCCTCAAGGGTCACATTTGGAACCTCTACTTTTTATTATATATAACAATGACATACAAAATTGTTTTAGGAATTCTCGGTTCCTTTGCTTTGCTGATGATTTAAAATTATTCATGCTTGTAAATTCCTTACATGATTATATTTGCATTCAAAAAGACTTGGATAACTTGGTCCAATCGTGTAGTACTAATGGCATGAGATTAAATACAAGTAAATGTCATGCAATCAATTTCAACAGAAAAACAGTCTTATTGAATATATCTATAAAATGACATAACACTGGATACTATTACAGAGGTAAAAGATTTGGGTGTGATACTAGATTCTACCCTTTCTTTCCAAACTTATATAACAACCTCAGTTAAGGAGGTCCTTTCGCCACCAATGTTAAATAAAAAATATTAGATGATGACTAAAATTAATTTTTTTCTAATAGTTGAAGTCCTTATTTATCTAATACTGAACTTTTAACTATACCTTACCTTGCAAATTTTTGAGAATTTTTTTTTTTAATGTGAGTATTTGTACAGTGTCTTACGAGAAAGTAAGACTTTAACAACAATTTTCGAATTATAATTAAGTAGACTATTATTTATTGATTAGATGGAGTACAAAAAAACTAAAAATAAGGTTTTTAAAATATTTAGGTTTTGTTTTTTACAATAAAATATATAGGTTACCGTGGAATTTATTGAGAAATTAATATTAAAAAATCACAAAAAATTTTCAACTAGGTTACTAAAAATTTTTTTTTAATATTAATTTCTCAATAAATTCCACGGTAACCTATATATTTTATTGTAAAAACAAAACCTAAATATTTCAAAAACCTTATTTTTAGTGTTTTTCTACTCCATCTAATCAATAAATAATAATAATATAATTCGAGAATTGTTGTTGAGGACTTACTTTCTCAAATTTGCAAGGTAAGGTATAGTTAAAAGTTCAGTATTAGATAAATAAGGACTTCAACTATTAGAAAAAAATTAATTTTAGTCATAATCTAATAACTTTTTTTTTAACATTGGAGGCGAGAGGTGTGGCGAAAGGACCTCCTTAATAAAGCATTAAGAATGTTGGGTTTCCTTAGAAGAACTACTTCTGATTTTCATAATGTGATATGTTTAAAGATTCTTTATTGTGCCTTAGTTAGACCTTATATTGTTACGCATTGTTGCATTTAAATCAGGTATCGTCCAGGTCAAC